ATTCTCAGCATGTGCTGGGTGCACAATGGCAAATTGCACATGCCAGCCTCTAAACTGATCATTTTCAGGTAAAGAAAATGACGGAAAAGAATAACTGGAGAAAATCTTTCTCTTTTGATTGATGATATCTTAGATGCTCTGCTTGAAGAAATGCATCCACTGTTCTTGCCCTTTGCACACATCCCTTTTTTGCCAAATGACTGAAGAGCAATTTTTTTTTTGTAGAGCACAATTGATAACTTGTGGCTATCTTTTGCATTCTACACAGAGTGAGTACATTTGGCAGGGTATCTTCCAGTTTGACAAGAACTATTCACATCTGAGGATATGGTACTAAGTTTCTTTCAGGAATCTGTTGAAATATTTGGGCAGGAAGAGTCTGAAAACATGTTGCCACTGAGGTATGCTTCCGTTCTTCATCTCAATTTTATCCTCTCTCTCAATACAACTATTAGACAAAGGAGTCATTCAGCCCATTGAGTCTGCTCCACCTTTCAATGAAATCATAGCTGATCTGATGATCTTCAAATCCACTTTCCTGCCTTTTCCTTATAACCCTTGATTCTCTTACTGATTTAAAATTTGTCTTAGTCCTGAATGTAGCTAAAGACCTAAGTATGTTACATGTTTCAATAAGATCACCTCTCGTTCTTCTAAATTCCAATGAATACAGACCCAAACTGCTCAAATTCTCCTCATGAAACAGTGCTTCCATACCGAGGATCCTACTCTGGATTTCTTCCAATGTCACTACATCTTTCCTTAGATAAAGGGCACAAAACTGTTCTCAGTGTTCCAGCTGTGGTCTGACTAGTGTTCTATAGTATAACTTCTCTATTTTTATGCTCCATTCCCTTTGAAATAAAGGCAAACACTCTATTTTCCTTCACTATTACTTTCTGAATTTGTACGCTAATATTTACTCTGACATTATTTATTAAAACCACCTCATTGTACATTACTAGAAACAAAGTAGTCAAATCTTTGTTGGATCCATAACATATTGTTCTAGAAAACGGTCTTGAACACACTCCAAGACTCTTCCTCTTGGCTACCTCTGACAATCTGGCTATCTCAATCTTCATAAAGGTTAAAGTTGCCCATGATTAATGTACTGCCTTTCTACATGGTCTTATTATCTCCTGACTTAATCACAATCCTACTGAATGGCTATGTTTAAGAGGCCATTAGACTGCTCCTATCAGTGTCTTCTTGTTGTTTCTTACCTCCACTCATACAGATTACATATCTTTTGATCCAAGAGCATTTCTAGTTGCAGTTTGTATTTCATCCCATACTAACAACACTACCCCAAGATAGAGTTGTAGAGTCACAGAACTGTACAACATGGAAACAGATCCTTTGGTCCAACACGTGCAGGCTGACCAGATATCCTAAATCAATCTAGTCCCATTTGCTAGTATTTGGCCCATATCCCTCTAAATCATTCCTATTCATATGCCCATCCAGATGCCTTTTAAATGTAATTATTGTACCAGCCTCCATCACTTCCTCCGGCAGCTTGTTCCAGACACGCACATCCTCTGCATGAAAAAGTTGCCCCTTAGGTGCTTTCTAAATCCTTAGCCTCTCACCTTAGACTAATGCCCTCTAGTTTTGGACTCCCCCAACCCGGGGAAGAGACCTTGACTATTCACCCTATCCATGCCCCTCATGATTTTATAAACCTGTATAAGTTCACCCCTCAGTCTCTGACGCTCCAGGGAAAATAGCCCCAGCCTATTCAGCCTCTCCCTGTAGCTCAAACCCTCCAAACCTGGCAACATCCTTTGTAAATCTTTTTTGAACCATTTCATCCTTCCTATAGCAGGGAGGCCAGAATTGCACACAGTATTCCAAAAGCGGCCTAACCAATGTCTTGTACAGCCGCAACGTGACCTCTCAACTTTTATACTCAATGCACCGACCAATAAAGGCAAACTTACCAAAAGCCTTTTTCACTATCCTATCTACCTGCGACTCCACTTTCAAGGAACTATGAATTTTCACTCCAAGCTGTCTTTGTTCAGCAACACTCCCTGGGACCTTACTATTGTGTGTGTAAGTCCTGCCCTGACTGCATTCCAAAATGCAGCACCTCACATTGATCTAAAATAAATTCCATCTGCCACTCCTCGGCCCATTGGCCCATCTGATCAAGATCCCGTTATACACTGAACCTTCTTTGCTGTCCACCACACCTCCAATTTTAGTGTCATCTACAAACTTACAAACTATACCTCTTAGGTTCGTAGCCATTTCATTGAAATAAATAATGAAAAGCAGTGGACCCAACACTGATCCTTGTGGCACACCACTGGTCACAGGTCTCCAGTCTGAAAAACAACCCTCCACCACTGCCCTCTATCTTCTACTGTTCCTTTTCATCATCCTATCTTTTCTGCCTGTCCTCCCAATAAGTCATTTAGCTCTGTACATACATTTCCCAGCTGTGATATTCTTGTAACTGTGTCTCCATAATAGTGACAAGATCATATCTGTTAACCTATATTTGTTCTGTTAATTCATTTATTTTAATTTGAATAGTACATGCATTCAAGTACAGAGCCATTAATTTTGCTACTTTACCATGTTTTGCCCACTGCGGCCCTATATATTACTGTTTTTATGCGCTTGTACAGTTTGTCTCTTCCTGTCCCACTTTGAATATCATTGTCCAAATTGCTGCCCTGCAATGCTTCTTTTGCTTTATAAGCCTATATATTTCTTCTCTCAAATGCTCCCCATTAGGTCTGCTCTACAGCCTTAGTTATTCGATTCACCAGGACACTGATCCCAGCATGGTTCAAGTAGAGTCCATCTCGTCGTAACAGGTCCCTTCTATCCCAGTGCTGATGCTACTGTCATTGAGTAGCAAAGAGGCATGCATTGCATAATGGCAGAAGAACTCACACTATTTTAGCATCTCATCTCTCTTTGTATTTAAACACTATGGAGACAGAGCCCAGGTTTAGCATCACAAGTGCAGTCTGCAAGCATAGAGGTCTGAAGGCAGTGAGCTCATGTTCCAAAAAGTAATCTTCATTAAAATCACATTTATTAGCACTTCAGGTATTCTGAGCTGAAAATGATCAAAACTGCCAAATGATTTTAAGATTATTGCTAATAGGATTTAAATTGTGAGCAATAAAAAGCTAAACTCATAAACCGATGAATGTAAATCATAATCCATTCTGAATCTGTCACAATAAGCATAAAACTAGCAAGCATTGCAAGCAGCAGACTGCTGTGTGATATTCCTTCCTATAAAACCATTCCCACAATAAGATTACTCATTTCTGAATGTTGGTTACAACCCTGTTCAAAAATCAGGGAGATATACCTTATGACTACAAGCCAATCACACTAACATTAGTGCTAAGCAAACTCTGGAGATCATTGTCAAGGAGAAAATTACCTCTCACATGGAGAAACTTGAGTCATTAAAGGAAAGCCAGCATAGATTTTTAAAGGCAAAACAATTCTGAAAACCTTAATTGAAATTTTTGTTCCAGTGACAAAGAGGCATATACTACAGGCATTGCAGGGACGGCACATTTAGTGAACCCAATTTGTTTTCTTTTATAGCAATCTGGGAACTTTCTACAAGTCTACAAATTACTAATATTTTAACCTCAGGAGTATTATCTAGGTTAAATACATATTCCCATATTTAGGCAGAAATGTTCAAAGTTCAATTTTCAGCTCAAAATTTCAACAGGGAACGCAATTGGTCAGAAGCTGGCAGAACAGGTTCCAGCCAAATTTCCATCTGCCTGCCTATTATGCCTGAACTAAGTAGAAACAGTGGCTCAGTGGGTAGTACTGCTGCCTCACAGTGCTAGGGATCTGGATTCAATTCCACCCTCAGCTGCCTATCTGTGTGGAGTTTGCATGTTCTCCTTTTGTCTGTGTGGGTTTCCTCCCACAGTCCAAAGATATGCAGGTTAGGTGGATTAGCTGTTGGAAATGCAGGGATGGTAGTGGGTCTGGGTGGGATGCTCTTTGGAGGGTCAGTGTGAACTTGATCAGTTGATTAGCCTGCTTCCGGACTGTAAGGATTCTATTAGGATGGGTGCAAAACAATCCTGCCGATCAGATTTCTAAACAAAGAGATTTTTTAAACAGTTCAAAGATAGCTTCAAACATCATAAAGTACATTTGTAAATTATATATACTGAATGCACTGGGATTATTTTTTAATCATGTAGTTAGGTAAAAACGTTTCTCATTATGTTAATCATTAAGTCTATTGTAAATAGTGCAGTTGATTATCTCAGAACAGCAGTACTCATGCTGACTCCATAATTACATACAAATGTGTGGTTTCATGAACTAAATGCTTTCACTTACTTGAATTGAGAAAAGCGTAAGATGGCAAACAAAAGCACAAATGCAACAACACAGGATTAAAGTGTTACTGAATGTTTGCAGTGTCATTGACTAACAAGGAAAAACAGATCAATGCAATGCAGTTATCATGTAGATAGGCACATTTATTGTCTTGCAAGTGCAGATCTAGGATTGTTTCATTATCAGTACCGGAATCCATTTTTAGTTACATTATAGTAAGTATCTGACTTTTTAATTGTTCAAGAATTGTTGATGCTTTATTCTGCACGAAGAGCTCTTGATTTACTGTACGCACATAAAATGTGCCTGACTGTTGAGATACTATAAAAGAACTATAAACCATTTTGAGGATCAAGTCATCTGAATCAAATAAACAGTTCATTGAAACAATTCATTTATCATTAATATTCAAAATTCTGCCTCTTTAGTTATATCAGAAAATATGATTTTGAGTAGAAACACAGTGTTGATTTTGAACTATATCATGAAACAACATTATAGTCAAGTCTTTTGAAGTAATTTGTTTTATAATATGTTTTTCTTTACAAATTCCGTCTTCAATATAATTGATTACAAAATTGATGTATAGTAAACATAAAATCCTTAAAATTTGATTTTATTACGCAGTTAATAGAAGAATGTAGTTTTCATACATGGTCAGTCTGATGTTTGTACCTTTCCCCTCTGTTCATTTTCAAGAGCGGACCCCAGTCAGGAGCAGGTTTGCACGATGCAATAAATTTCTGTGCAAAGAATAAGAAAATGCTTGATAATTGGTAGATAATTTTTATTGATCTTAGCACCTAACCAACAAAAAAATCCTGATCAGGTCATATTTTAATTTATTCAAACTGATTTCTCAATGACATTTGAACAATCAAATACCCATAAAAGGCTTTCTCTATTTTCACAAGTAACTCGACTGTTCCTGTCAAAGTTCTAGGTAATAATCTCAGGATTAGTGGTAATGATTCATTGGGCTCCATTCAGTACATTACTAACCACACAGTAAGACAGAGAATAAATTAAGAAATAGTGGGAGTTTATTAGAAAGGTATGGTAAAGTAGGGCTGAGTCAGCGCTGCATCATGAAGTGGAGTTCATGCCTGAAAAATCTGTTAGAATTATTTGATGAGCAAATTAGAGCCAGTTGGCATTATCTACTTGGATTTCCAGAAGGCATTTGACAAGGTACCGCACAGGAGGCTGCTAAATAAGATGGTGCTAGGGCAAGGTACTGGCATGGCTGAGGATTGGCTGACTGGTAGAAGGCAGAGAGTGGGGGAAAAGAGGTCTTTTTCAGGATGGCAGCTGGTGACTACTGGAATTCCTCAGGAGTCGTCGTTGAGGCCACAACTATTCACGTTATACATTAAGAATCTGGATGAAGGAACAGAGAGCATTGTTGATAAGATTGCAAGTGACACGAAGATAGATGGAGGGACAGAGGGTGTTGAGGAAGTGGGGAGACTGCGGAAGGACTTAGCCAGACTTGGAGAGTGGGCAAACATGTAGCAGACAGAACACAATGTGGGAAAGTTTAAGGTCATGTGCTTTGCTCAGAAGAATAGAGACATAGACTGTTTTCTAAATGGGAAAAGGTTTTGGAAATCTGAAGCACAAATGGTCTTAGGAGTCCTAGTTAAGGATTTTCCTAAGGTTCACATGCAGGTTCAGTTGGCAGTTAGGAAGGCAAATTTCAATAGGGACAGAATACAAGACAGGGAAGTACTGCTGGGGCCATATAAGACTCTGATCAGACTGCATTTTGAATATTGGGAGTAGTTTTGGGGCCCATATCTAAAGAAGGATGTGTTGGCGGTGGAGCGCATTCAGAGGAGTTTCACAAGAATGTTCCTGGGGATGGAGGGCATGTCATATGAGGAGCGGTTGGTTCTGTACATGATAGAGCTTAGAAGGATGAGGAGGTTCACATTAAAACTTACAGATTACAAAGAGGTCTGGATATACTGCATGTGGAGAAGATGTTTCCACTACTAAAAGATACCAGGTCCCGAGCACACGACCTCAGAGTGAAGGGAAGACCCTTTAGAAATGAGGTGAGGAGGAATTTCTTCACCCAGAGAGGAGTGAATCTGCCGCAGAGGCCTGTGGTGGCCAAGTCACTGAGTGTATTTAAGACAGAGATAGTAAGAGGGTCAAGGGTTATTGGAAAAGGTGAGGGTTGGGAAACATATTAGCCATGTTCAAATGGTGGAGCAGACTCGATGGGCTGAATGGTCTACTTATGGTCTTAATGTATGGTAATAATCATAGAGGACACAAATCTATATAAAAATTGGGGAAAAAAATCTGATGGGCAAAGGTTGTTTATAAAATTATTAGAAAACGTTTTTAGGATAGTTTCTTAGAACAACATATTTGGGAGCTAACCAGATAGCAGCCTATACTAGACCTAGTATCATGTAGTCAATAGGATAAATAAACATGGATAAATAAATAAATAAAAATAAAAAAGGATAAATAGGATAAATGTTGCTCCTAGGTAGACACTTATAGGACCAACATTTTAAACTTAATGAAGAGCAATTTTAAAGGTAAGGAAGCAGTACATGCTAACTGGCAAATTAGTTTAAAGGATAGGTCTGTAGTAATTCAGTGACAAATGTTCAAGAGGATATTTTAGAATACACATACTAAATACATTCCAATGAAAAATTCCAAGGAAAGAACCACCATCTGTAGTTAACTAAAAAAGTTAAAGATAGAATGGCAAATGGTATGTTGGCCTTCATTGCGAGATGTTTCGAGTACAGGAGCAGGGATGTGTTGTTGCAGTTGTACAGGGCCTTGGTGAGGCCACACCTAGAATACTGTGTGCAGTTTTGGCCTCCTTTTCTGAGGAAGGATGCTCTTGCTTTTCAGGAGTGCAGCGAAGGTTTACCAGGCTGATTCCGGAGATGGCAGAGGAAAGATTGACTAGGTTGGGATTGTTTTCGCTAGAGTTCCGACAAATGAGGGGGGGATCTCATAGAGACTTATAAAATTCTAACATGACTGGGCAGGGTAGATGCAGGGAGGATGTTCCTGATGGTGGATGCATCCAGAACCAGGGTTCACAGAATGAGGATTCAGGGTAGACGATTTAGGATGGAGATGAGGAGAAATTTCTTCACCCAAAGAGTGGTGAATCTGTGGAATTCATTACTAAAGGCAGTAATTGATGCAAAAACATTGAATGTATTCAAGAGGCGACTAGATATAGCATTTGGGGTGAATGGGATCAAAGGTTATGGGGAGAAAGCAGGGTTAGGCTACAGAGTTGGACGATCAGCCCTGATGGTGAAGAATGGTGGAGCAGGCTCGAATGGCCGAATGGGCTTCTCCTGCTCCTATCTTCTATATTTCTATGTTTAAACTTTTCGAAAATGTATTTAATTGTGCAAAGATTAGTAGTGAGATAGCAGATTGGAAAGAATATAAATAAAGAATAATAAATGACTAAAAGATAAATACAAAGGGAAATTTAGAATAGAAAAAAAAGCTAGCTAGAAATATAAAAAGTTTCTAACGGTATTTTTTAAAAAGCGTTTAAAAAGTGGGCATTGGTCCTACAGAATGTGAGACTGGAGAATCAAAACAGAAAATAAATTGCTGGCAGATGTAATGAACAGGTATTTTGCATCAATTTTTACTATACAGGATATAAGTGTTACCAGAAATAGTAATAAATTTTGAAATGGAAGGAAAGGAGGACCTCAACAAATTATAATCACCAGAAAAATGTTAGTTAGTAAACTGTTGGAGCTGTGGGCTGAGGTGTCAGTGAGTTCTGATGGATTTCATTCTACGGTCATAGAGGAAGTGGCTAATGAAACAGTTGATGTGCTTTAATTTTCAAAAGTTCACTGGATTCAGGAAAGGTTCCATTATATGGTCAATTCATGAACAAATCTCATTTGCTGAAAAAAGAAACCAGAAAGCAGGAAACTACAGCCAATTCACTTAAAATCTACCATAAGTAAATTCTTTGGTGTTTGCATCAAAAACATCACTGCAAAGCTCTTAGAAAAATTCAAGATAATCATGCAATGTCAATATCATTTTGTGAAAGGAACATCATTCCTAATATCATTTATTAGGTCGATCTAGGCTGTGGTGGTCTGTATCTACCTCACATAGGCTGCAGCAATTCAAAATGGCAGCTGCCCATGAGTTCTCAAGGACAATTAAGAATGGGCAATAAATGCGAGCCCTGCCAGCAACACCCAAATCCCATGATCAAATAAACTGAGAGCTGTAAAGTGAGATTATGCCCGCTAGCAGTTTTTAAACCGGCACAGTAAATGGGCCAAATGGTTTTCTTCTTCAGTGTCATTCATTTCTCAGATTCAATATGAATAGTTGTTTCATACTTAAGATAGTTATACGGTTACCTCATAAATGTTGGAGCCCTTAGCTTGGGTAATTTTCACAATTGCCAGAATTGGAATCCAAATAATACAGAGGAGAAATATACACCAGCCAAACAGCACTGTCCACATTGGGTACTCAAACGATCCATAGCGTGGTTGGTGAAATGTGATAGACGACCAGAGTAAGATTCCCTGTTTGAAATGATTCCACAAAGATTAGATGTAGAATAAGCGAGCACGTGCATTGAAACAACACCACAAGAGCCAGTATCCCGTCATTAAGTCACCCTTTATTTAGACATGCTTAGTACATGACACTGACCCAGCTAGTTCTAAGCTGGCTCCAAGATGAGCAGAAACCCTGACACTGCTGTTTTTATCTGGCAGCCAGGGCTCCCTGATTGGACCAAGTTAACAGCCTCAACCAGGGAACTCATATTCTCTGAGATCCACCAGGCTGATATTGATCCAACCACTACACATACACATTCTTTTTTGAATCTTAAATCATTAAATGACGTAAACTTTCTTACCGTTATCAGGCAAGGAGTAATTAAAAACCAACATATTCTCCACCACAGCCAGAAGTACCAGCTCTTTTTACCAATCATCATTTCAATGTCCTCAATGAATCTGTTTCCCCCTGTGAAAGATAAGAAGGAAAAGATAATCACCATCTTTCTTTTTCAGGTGACTGCTTACTTCGGTTGTGTGACCTCTTTGTATAACACAAACATACATGCAAGAAAACAGTTCATCAGGGCTGCTGGAAAAATAACAGTGTACTTGTACTGAATACTGTTCACAATGCTTGAACCAACCAGCAACTTATGAGGTAGAGATACCATGTAAATATCTGTAAGTTATGATGTTTCTTAAATTCCTGGTGATGTGCACTGCTAAAGTAAATTCATGAAACTGACATCTTAGGTTAACCACTGCATGAATTTCACAAAGTTGTTGCCTGTGCACATTAACAAAAACGTAATTGTCTATGGCATATTTAATTTAAACATGAGTAACCTTTTAACAATACAATCACTAATGATTACCAAAGAATGTCATGTCCAGAAAGTAAACAATTAATTGTTGGAATCTCATTTCTTCACATTATGAATAATTTTAAGAAAGATGGTAAACATTAAATTTTAAAACTTCTTTTTTACTCTTATCTTTTAAAATTTTATCTTCCTCTTAATTCAATTTTAATGCCCTCTCTGCATCTGATTTGACATTAAATTTGCTAGCTTCTATTGATCCTCCTTATCAGATGTTCCTGTTTATTTCTCCAAATTTAATCACATTGAAGGACATACACAGCTTGCTCTGTTGTTCAGGTTTCAGCTCTTGCCACAGTATCAAATGGTTCATATCAAACACACAAATGATACCTCATGTGACAGAGACAAAGGCAAACTGACTCTCCTCATTTTTTGCAAACTATCTGCAGCTTTTGAGACCGGTGTCGGCATCCTACTTTTCCAATACCTCCCCATCATAATTCAGCTGGATACGTTTGCATTCGGTTCCCTTATTACCTATCCAGTTGGAGTCAGCACATCACCTCCAATGATTTCTATTTCTGATTATACACTACTAGTTCTCATGTCAACAAAAGGCACATCTTTATATGCTTCACATTTCTCATCTCCAGGCAGTTCCCAAAAATATTATCCAAAAAACATGTCAGGTTCTACTTACACAATCATGACAACCAACTCTAACATACCATCACTTCTCTCCAAACTCCATAGCAACATTGAGTGCTGGATCAGCTAAAATTTCCTTTAACTAAATATTGGAAATACCAAAGTCATTGGAAATACCAAAGTCACTCTTGGCCTCAAACTCTACTCCCTAGCTATGAAACAATCCTTCTCCCAGGCAACTGTCTGACACTGAACCAAATTATTCTTGTTGACCTTCCAATCATATACCCATCGCAATGCTAAAACCACTTCTTTGAACCTTCATTGTATAGCCTCACTCTACTATTACCACATCTCATCTGCTGCTAATATCCTTATTCATGCAGTCCGAATGATCACATCTAGAAGGAACAATGCATTCCTGATCAAGTTCCATAGTTCAAACCTGAGGCAATCTAAAATATTGCCCTCCCCATATCCTAACTTACATCAAATTTAATTCCCCTATCATCCCTGTGGTCATTGATCAATATTGGTTCATGATTAGCACCGCCTTAACTTCAAAACTCTCAACCTTAATTTCAAATTCTTCAATATCCTTCTCCTTCATATTTCTATCCTATTTTACAGATATACAATATTCTTAAATGTAAGTACTCCTCACTTTTTGGCTTTTGAATTTCTAATTTTTATCAGTTGCCATGGTCCCACACTAAATTCCCACCTTAAACTTCTCTTTCTCTCTTTCTTCCTCCAAGGCATTCTTATAACCTACTTCTTTTGCCAAGCTTCTGGTCATCCTTCCCAAGATCTCTGTATATGGCTCAGTATTTTTGAAGAACATTGAGACATTTTGAATGTTAAAAGCACTCTATTAATATAAATTGTTGCTTTTAATATGTGCCAACAGCAACTCTGCAGATACTTCTGTTTTTTAAAATTTAGTTGTGCATGAATAAGTCTAACGGGACGATTCAGTGAGATAGTCTGTACCATCAATTTCTGGAAAACATTTTAGATTGTTTTGTCATTAGAAACCCTATAGTGTGGCAGCAGGCCATTCAGCCCATCAAGTGCACACTGACCCTCCGAACAGCATGCCACACAGGCCAATGCCCCTACCCTAATCCTGCATTTCCCACAGCTAACCCATTTAACCTACACATCCCTGGATACTATGGGCAATTTAGCATGTCTAATCCACCTAGCCTGCGCATCTTTGGACTGTGGGACGAAACTGGAGCAGCTGAAGGAAATCCACATAGACACGGGGAAGATGTGTAAACTCCACACAGACAGTGGCCTAAGGGAGGAATTGAACTTAGGTCCCTGACGTGAGCCACTATGCTGCCCTGAGAATTGTAAACTGATATTTAGCAGTCACCAAACTCAGTTGGCCTATCTATTTGATTTATTCCAGCCCTGCAGAGGTAAAAATAAATCTTTGCATTGCATGGTACTGCATTATACTTACCATAAATGAAGATTATACCAACAAGTTCCAACGCAGCTGTTATAAGTAGAGTCAAACCAGTAGAGTAATGATCAAATAAGTGCACCCAGTAAATACCAGCCTAAAAACGTAATATTGGCAAAAATGTTAAGAAAGTCACACTATTCAAAATATTATATACATTGTACTTTACCAAATAAAAAAAAATGCTCCTTTGGGCTATGCTGGAGAACCACTGGCACATGTTTATCAGTATTCTAATATTTTCATTCGGGTGTCAAATTATTTGCTGTGTTTCTCTTCTGACAGACAGCACAGCACTTATAAAGCTAAAATATTTAGCTTGATTGGTTTATTTCAAGTCAATTTTTGTCAACATCGTGGAGCACTTCCTCTAGCATTAAATTCCATCATGATTCTCAACTACTCATAGTTGATACATCAAACTATGCAGAAAAGCTGTTAAATTGTCAGAAACTGCTGGAGAGCTGTTAATATTTATAATTAATGCATTCAATAAGTATGGAAGAACCAATGATCTACAAGGGGAGGTGATGGCCTAGGCTATTAATCCAGAAACTCAGCTAATGTCCTGGGGACCTGGGTTGAATTTTGCTACAGCAGATGATGGAAGTTGAATTCGATAAAAAAAAAATCTGGAATTAAGAATCTACTGATGATCACGAAAGCATTGTCAATTGTCGGAAAAACCCAATTGATTCATTAATGTCTTTCAGGGAAGGAAACTGCCATCCACACTTGGCCTGGCCTACATGTGACTCAGACCCACAGCAATATGGTTGACTCTCAATTGCCCTCTGAAATGGCCTAGCAAACCAATCAATTGCTACTATGTCTCAAAGAAATGAAACCAGATGGATCACCTAGCATCAACCTAGGCACCAGAAAAGACAACAACAGAGACAGCTGTCGACCCTCCTCACTAACATCTGGAGGCTAGTGCCAAATTTGGGACAGCTGTCTCACAGACTAGTCAAGCAACAGCGTGACATAGTCATACCCATGGCATCATACCTTATAAACAATGTCCCAGACACCACTATCACCATCCCTGGATATGTCCTGTCCCACCGGCAGGACAGTCTCAGCAGAGGTAGCAGCACAGTGGCATATGGCCGGGAGGGAGTTGCCCTGGGAATCCTCAACATTGACTATGGACTCCATGAAGTCTCATGGCTTCAAGTTAAACATGGGCAAGGAAACTTTCTACTACTCGAGCTGGTTGGGTGCTAAAGAACATAGCTGCTAGATTGAGTCTGCGGCAGGTGGTGAGAGAAACAACAAGAGCGAAAAACATACTTGGCCTCATTCTTATCAATCTGCCTGCAACAGATTCATCTGTTCATGACAGTGTTAGTATGAGCGACCACCGTACAGTTCTTGTGGAGACAAATTCTCATCTTCATGTTGCGAATAACCTCCATGGTATTGTGTGGCACTGTCACCGTAGTAAATGGGACACACTCTGAACAGTTCTATCAACTCAAGACTTGGTATCCATGAGGTGCAGTGGACCATCAACAGCAGTAGAATTGTACTCCAACACAATCTGCAACCTCATGTCTCTGCATATCTTCCACTCAACCATCACCATCAAGCCAGGGGATCAACCCTGATTCAATGAAGAGTGCAGGAAGGCACGCCAGGAGCAGCAACAGGCATAACTGAAAATGAGGTGTCAACCTGATGAAGCCACCAAATAGGACTATCCAAAGAGTTTGGATGCCAAATAGCATAAGCAGCAAGTGATAGGTACAGCTAAGTGATCCCACCTCCAGTGGATCAGATCTGAGCTCTGCAATCCTGCCACATCTAGTCGTGAATGGTGGTAGACAGTTAAACAACTCACTGGAGGAGGAGGCTCCACAAACATCCCCATCCTCAATGATGGAAGAGCCCAGCACATCAGTGCAAAAGATAAGGCTGAAGAATTCATAGCAATCTTCAGCCAGAAGTGCTGAATGGTTGATTCATTTCAGCCTCTTCCAGTAGCCTCCAGCATTACAGATACCAGTCTTCATCAATTCGATTCTCTCCATGTGATATCAAGAAATATTTGGAGACAATAGATACTGCAAAGCTATGAGCCCTGACAACATTCCAGCAAGAGGATTGAAGACTTGTGCTCCAGAACTTGCTGCTTCCCAAGCCAAGCTATTCCAGTATACTACAATACTGGTATCTATCCAGCAATGTGGAAAATTGCCCAGGTATGTCTTTACACAAAAAGCAGGACAAATCCAACCCAGCCAATTACTGCTCCATCAGTCTACTCTCAATCATCATTAAATTGATGGAAGGTGTCATCAATATTGCTATCAAGCAGCACCTGCTCAGCAAAAACCTGCTCAGTGACACTCAGTTTGAGTTCCTCCAGGGCCACTCTGTCCCTGACCTCATTACAGCCCTGGTTAAAACATGAACAGAAGAGCTGAATTCCAGAGGTGATGTGAGAGTGACAGCCCTTGACATCAAGGCTGCCTTCGACTGAGTATGGAATCAAGGAGCCCTAGCAAATCTGGAATCAATTGGTACCAGGGGGAAAACTCTCCAGTGGTTAGAGTCATACCTGACACATAGGAAGATGGTTATGGTTGTTGGAGGTCGATCATCTCACCTTCAGGACATCTCTGCAGGAGTTCCTCAGGGCAAGCGTGCCTGGCCCAACTATCTTCAGCTGCCTTATCAATGACCTTCTCTCCATCATAGTCGGATGTTTGCTGATGACTGAACAATTTTCAGCACCATTTGCGACTCCTCAGACACTGAAGCAGTCCATGCTGAAATGCAACAAGATCTGGACAATATCCAGGCTTGGCCTCTTAAGTGGCAAGTGACATTTGCGCCACACAAATGCCAGGCTATGACCATCATGAATAAGAGACAATCTAATCATTGCCTTTGACATTCAATGGTGTTACCATCACTGAACCCCCCACTGTCAACATCCTGAGGGTTACCACTGACCAGAAGCTCAAGTGGACTCACCACATAAACACAGTGGCAACAAGAGCAGATCAGGGGCTGGGAATACTGCAGTGAGTAACTCAACTCCTGACTTCCCAAAGCCTGTCCATTGTCTACGAGGCACAAGTCAGGTGTGTGATGGAATATTCCCCACTTGCCTGGATGGGTGCAGCTCCAATAACACTCAAGAAGCTTGACACCATGCAGGACAAAGCAACTCGCTTGATTAGCACCACAACCACAAACGTCGACTCCCTACACCACCGACGCTCAGTAACAGCAGTGTGTGCTATCTACAAAATGTACTGCAGAAATTCACCAATGATTCTGAGACAGCACCTTCCAAACCTATGACCACTTCTATCTAGAAGGACATGGGCAGCAGATATATGGGAACACCATCACCTTCAAGTGCCCCTCCATGTCACCACCATCCTTACTTGGAAATATATCAACATTCCTTCACTGTCGCTGGCTTAAAATCCTGGAATTCCCTCCCTAATTGCATTGTGGGTCAACCCACAGGAGGTGGACTGCAGCGGTTCAAGAAGTCAGCTCACCACCACCTTCTCAAGGGCAACTAGGGGTGGGAAATAAATATTGGCCAGCCAGTGATGCCCACATCCCACAAATGAACTTTTAAAAAAGTGGTTTTATCCTAAAGTAGTTGTCATCGGCAGCAATCACTCTCTATTATGCACGTTTGCCCACCTAAACTATCAATCATTCAACTATAACTTTGTTTTATCTCTCCTTAATAATCATAGAGGTACCATTATATTACAGAATGTTTCATATCAGTCACCAATTAATGGGAAAAATATAGTGAAGCACATTTTCAGAGTTCTGCCAGAGTAGATGGAGAGAAATATTTCCTACTGATGATGCGGCTGAGAAGCAGAGGAAGGTGTTTTAAGATAACTGGCAAAAGAACCAAAAGCAATGTAAATTTCATATTTTCTACAGTCAGATCTTGGAATTGGGAATGCACTGCCTGAAGTTGTGTTGGGGGCAGCTTCAACCATGATTTTTGAAAGAGACCAGAACCATTAATGAGGAAAAGGAAGGGGAGTTGAACTATCGAAATTCCTCTTGGCCTCAATGGGTGAAATGAACTGCTTAATGCTGTAACCATTCTGTGGTTCTGTGATAATCTTTCAAAAATAATAGCAACTATCCATATTACAGATATTTCTACTTTAAATTAATTCTGAATCTGAAAATAATTTATATTTACTGTCTGGCATGGAATTTGCTACAACTTGCATAAAGAGGAATGGGTACTGACACTCAGCTTGTTTACTCAGTTGCAACACCATGTGGGACAGCTATAAATGCCATATATCTTACATGGATAGAATTAACATACCTGATTTCACTATGCAGGACATATTCATTGAACTATATAAATATTTGAGTTGATTTTCTATGAGCAAATTTTCTGCACTTAATCAATATTTTTCATTCTCTTCAAGTAAACATGTCCACAAATACTCCAGGGTAGAAATCACTGTTAATGATATTGCTAGATAAATAATTAACCCCACTAAATTAACGTTAAAAATTGAAGAAAGCACATTAGGTCTTGTACAATAACAATAGCTTTCTGCTCATATATCGAATGCATATTTAACGATTTCTAATTGCCCATTTCTTTCAGCTAATCTCAGCGGAACATGCAATAGATCTGAAATGGATCCCTGTGAATGCTGGCTAATAAAGGGGCACTGCCACACATTAGTTATGTAAGCCAACAGGTAGAAATCAAATTGTGGCAGATTAGCCTAAACGGCAACAGAAGCACTTTAGAAGAATGGACCCAGACTGATAGAAAATCTTGTTACATCTAATACTTAAATATATTCCCAAACAAGCATCTGTTCAAATTTTTCAGATATTTCTGGGTGTCAGTGGGACAGCAAGTTGGTAGGGTGGGTATTTATCAGGAGAGTTGAGTTGGGGACTGAGACTGTGAGGCCAGAGGAAGGGGAGGAGGGTTAAGGGAGAGCGATTGGTAGAATGATGTGCTGGTGGGAGGTCGTGGTGGGGGAGATGCCTCTGATGGTCACAGGTGACTTCTAACAGAGGTCCCCTATTGCCCAATATCAACTGCTCCAGTAAAGGCTGCCACAGTACCCTACTGGTATGGACTGTGGGAAAAGCAGTGACAGAGAGATAAGCATTGGGGCAGCTGGTTAGATAGATACTACATTTTACGAGTGCCTCCTCACCTATCAAAACTGCCAGTGAAGTGGAAGATGGGGGCAGCACGTAGACTCTGAAATTTATTTGCATGATGTAATACATAGATTGAGAAATAGTGGGGCCAAGTTTGCATCATGGAGGGCCTTCAAACATCTGCGGACCTGTCTCTGGCACCCTCTTGTGTTTCACCTCAATAGTGTCCATCAGATGTATTGTCTGATAGTATGGAGATTTTTACGTGCATGTGGACGACACCCCACACTTTTTCATCATTGCCTTTGTCAACTCTTCCACTGTGGCTAAATTATCAGATTGGCTTATCTGAAATCCAGTACTGGATGAACAGCAATTTCCTCCAATTAAACATCGAGAAAACCAAAGCCACTGTCTTTTGGTTTCCGCTCCAGGCTCCATTTCCTCACTGAGTGTATCCATCTGCTGTTAACAATGTGAAATTAATCTAGTCTGTTTGCAGCCTTGATCATAAATTTCTGATCTCATTTTGGTGCCATCATTGAGACTGCCCATTTCCAATTCATTAAATAACCTGACTTTATCCCTGCCTCAGCACATTTGGAGCTGAAACCCTCATTCATGCTATGTTACCTCTAAATTTGACAATTCCAACTTACTTCTTGCTGGTCTCCCATAATAAATAATAAATTGAAGATTATCTGATACTCTCCTGTCCCTACCTTCACTCAAAGCGGTGGATAGAGTTGTTAAGAAGGCATATGGTGTGTTCGCTTTCATTAATAGAGGGATTGAATTCAAGAGCCGTGAAGTTATGCTCCAGCTATACAAAAGCCTGGTTCGGCCACATCTGGAATATTGTGTCCAGTTCTGGTTGCCTCATTACAGGAAAGACGTGGAAGCGTTGGAAAAGGTACAGAGGAGATTTACCAGGATGTTGCCTGGAATGGAGGGAAGGTCTTACGAGGAAAGGTTGAGAGAGCTAGGGTTTTTCTCTTCAGAATGACGAAAGATGAGAGATGACTTGATAGAGGTGTACAAAATGATCAGAGGTATAGATAGAGTAGACAGCCAGAGACTTTTTCCTAGGGTGGAGGTAGCTGTTACGAGGGGGCATAGTTTTAAAGTGAGTGGAGGTAGACATAGGGGAGACCTCAGAGGTAGGTTCTTTACTCAGAGAGTGGTCGGGGCATGGAATGCATTGCTGGAGAGGGTAGTGGAGTCGGCCTCATTAGGGGCATTTAAGCAGCTATTAGATAGGCATATGGATGATAGTATAACGTAGCGGTGGAGGTTAGATAGACCTTAGGATTAGGATAAAAGTTCAGCACAACATCGTGGGCCGAAGGGCCTGTACTGTGCTGTACTGTTCTATGTTCTAAAGCAAGTCTAGTTACTTCACGTTCCATCTACTCATTGACCTTCATTGACTCCCTGACAAGCAGTATGATTGTTTCCAAAGTTTCATCCTTATTTTCAAACTTCTCCATGTTCTCATCTCCCTACCTCTGTAATCTCCTTCAGCTCCACAATACTTTAAGATATCTATGCTCCTCTAATTCTAGTCTCTTGTACATCTCAATTTTAATAACCCAACTTTGATGGATATGCCTTCAATTACCTAGACCCCAAGCTTTGGACTTCCCTCTGTACAGTTCTTTGCCTCTTTACCTCATTTTTCTCATTTGACTCTGACTCCAGCATCTGCAATTCTTGGTATCTTTGAGATCTTTCTCCATTAAGTCATCTCTTTGACCAAATGTTTGGTCCTCTGATCTAATATGTCCTCATTTAAATTAGTTTCTTATTTTGTGATGCAACTTGAGACCCTGCAGTACATTAAAGGCACTAGACATGTAAGTTTTGTTTTAATGACATATCAAGTTGATCATGAGCCTGAAAATTCTGATTACCATGTCATGAAAGATAACACCAAATGTTCGGGAGGCATTGTTGCAACAATATAAAATAAATAAAGTTTATTCAAAGGTTCTCCATCAGCAAAACCAGATATTAAACTATGTTACTTATAGCCAAAACACATGTGGTACAGTCAGTGACTAGGCAAACTGCAATCATACCAGCCTCCACTTGATTCCAGTTATATCGTAAATTGAAGATTATGCCCTAGAGAAGCAGAGATCAAGCTCTCATTACAACTTCCCAAAACCTATCTAAATTTCCCAGTGCAGTTGTAAATTAGTATGTGAATGAAGTCAAACTCAAAAATTGATCACTATTATCAGAATATTATAGTAGCCGATTCCACTTCAGTTCGAAAACATTTTGAACTGGCTCACAACTGAAAAATCACTAGCTACCATCAGTTCTGAGGAAGAGTCACTTGACCCAAAACGTTAACTCTGATTTCTCTTCACAGATGCTGCCAGAACCACTGAACGTTTCCAGCAATTTCTGTTTTTCTTGTGAAGAATCCCTGTGTGGTGATGGGGCAGCAGATGTTTGTATTCATTCTGAACGTATAATTCGTGCCCACGGTATGTGCTGTTTTCTATGTCATTTATCCTTTACTCATGTTTCACCTTAAGAAGTTCTTAATGCAAAGAGGTTCTCCAGTTTTCCTGAATTTGTTCAATGGGGATTTTTTATATTTTCTTTGGTTTTACCTGGGTGTGAACATTACTGAAGCTTGCTGTGAATGGTACAGGATTACAGCATTAAGAGGTATTGTAACCATTTATGCTCACTTTCCTCATTTATTGTTAAATAAAACATTCTCTGAAAGTGGATGATGCTGGGCATTTACTGCCTAGCCTAATTGCTCTGAGAAGGGGATGGTGTGCTTTCACCTTGAATCATAACTGTATTTATGCTGATGATGTTCCTATGATATTGTTAAGCAGAGGATTTTGCCTGCGTAATCCAATGTTTCTCTCTAATGTACACTTGTCTTTGTCAGTGACACACTTTGTTAGTTTTTTTTTCCCCATTTACAATGCATCATATCACCACAGAGGGTCTCAGCACATGTTTGTGTGATTATTACATCAGCTTTAACTTGTCATCACATAACTTGACCAAATAATATGCATATTATAATTGCATGAACAATTTGCTAATTAGTGGTCACTTAAGTACCTTTTCACTGTGTCACTGTTTTTCTCACAGCCTATGCTAGTAGGGTACTGTGGCAGCCTGTATTGGAGCAGTTGGTGTTGTAGCTCTATATATGAACTACACGGTTTATCAGCCATTGAAAAAGTACTAAAGAATAGCATGTATTTTTACAGGTGGACCTTGATCAGTTATACTTATCTTAATCTTAGCAAGTGAAATCTCAAGAATTGTACCTTTCAAAGTCACATTTTCATTATAGCAGATTAGGCTCACTTTTATAAAAATATTATGTTTTAATACACACTATTTATGATCATTATATTTTTGATTTTAAGAATGACGTTTTATTAAAATGATTGGATTCCATACCTGTGTTGCAAATATGAGACCAAGGAAATAGAATGATAGACAAAGGACGATTACCACAGAAAGGTATCTTGATTGCATAAAATTAGGCAGTGCATCTGCTATACTTGTTGTAATTGTTTCTGGTAAAAAAAAATCAAATATCAGTAATTGATTCATATTCTAGATCATATGTATATTTACTGCTCTTTCTATGTAATCTAAAACAATGCAAACTGGAAGACAGAATGAGTTGCCTTGCCAAAGCCCAGAGTTCATTCCTCAAAACATGAAAGAATAGTCAGTTTTCATTTTATTACATTGGGGTTTTCAACAAGGGAAAGTTTCCTGGAGTCTGCCAAAATATAACTAATGTGCAGAGTGTGGTCATTGTACAACTTGTACTTTGTACTTTCAAAATTACATTTTCTGGTTTTGATTTTTGACATTTTTTGAATTTTATATTTACTCACCTACTTGTCATGCTTCCTGTTCATAATGTGCAAGACTTTGAATTGAAAAGGCACTTTCCTCTCAAGAACGAGTTTGACAGGTAGAAGTACATTTCACATACCTCCCGGGGATTGACTGAAAGGGATGCCAATGTAGCAGAATGATCAAAAGAAGCTGATTTTGTGATGCATAAAGTTGGCGTGTTGAGCAGGGGAAAGAGGTCGGGTCACAAGAAGATCACTGTGAATAAATGACTGAGTGTGTCTATGCGAGTCACATAAGCCAGCAACCTCTAAGCTTCTCACCGTCTCTCAGATGTTTGTTTCAGCTTCACGGTTTGGGGTCCCCAAGCTCTTTTCACTTTTATTTATATTGTTGCTTATTCCTTTCCTTCTTTCTTTCTCAAGTATAAGTTGTATCATGTGGTCTCTAGAGTCTGCTTCTTCTGCCTATATTGAGATATTGTGATTTTTTTTTAACTCCTGCCTTCAGTTTGCCCAGACTGCTTGTGTTTTGATCCAGCTGCTAATGATACTGGGATAAGCCAGGTCCCAGAGTGAGACCTTGGCTTTTATTTTTGTTGCTTTTAACCATGATGATTGGTCACTGAACATATTCACAAGTAGCTGCTAATGTAATTTCCACAAAATAACATCAATGTTCATTGCACATAAAGGGAAAAAAATGAACTACTTTTCACCATGAAATGGTCTTGTTACTAACATCAGAAATGAAATTTCAATCCTTTTACCCTCAGCAACAATCTTACAAATAGTCAAACCTCAGTGAAGGGTCATCCTGTTACACTTTAAAGTTCCTCGTTCAGCTGGTGTGGTTCATTTGGTTTCTGCAACTTTCTTTTTCAGATCAAATGCAAGGGTTTTCTTTTACTCTTTCAAAAGATGTGAGTGTCACTAGCTAGCCCAGAATTTATTGCCTACTCCAAGATGCCCTTGTGAAGGTGATGGTGAGCTGCCTTTTTGAACTGCTGCAGTCTATGTGCTATAGGTTGGTGTAAAATGCCATTAGGGAGGGAGTTCCAGAATTTTTATCCGGCAACATTAAAGGAACGGTGAAATATTTCCAAGTCAGGATGGTGAATGGCTAAGAGGGGGACTTGACGTGCTGGAATTCCCATGTATTTGCTGCCTGTGTTCTTCTAGATAGTAGTGGTCATGGACAATGCTGTCTGAGGAGTCTCAGTTAATTATTATTGTGCACCTTCTGGATGATACAGACTACTGCTACTGTATGTTAGTGGTAGAGGGAATGGGTGTTTGTATGGTGCGAATCAAGTAGGCTGCTTTAGCCTATTTGGTGTAAAGTCTCAAGTATTCTTTCAGGCAAGTGGAGGATATTCAGTTATACTCATGACTTGCACCTTGCAAATGGGGGATAGGCTTTGGTCAGTCAGGAGGCAAGTTACTCGGCAAAGGATTGTTGGCATCTGCCCTTAGCCACTGTAATTATATGAATAATCCAGTTCAGTTTCTGGTCAATGGTAACCCCCAGGATGTTGACTGAGGGGCTTCAATGATCGCTACTCCTTAATGAACATCAAGGGGTTATGGTTCGATTCTCTCTTGTAAGAGATGGCCATTATCTGGCACTTGTGTGTTGTGTATGTTACTTGCTCTTCAGTAGCTTCTTTTCCATTCCAGCAGTTTTCTCTTTCTGGAGTTTTCTTCGAAACCACTCAGGATATTTTCCCCAGCTCTGGCATCTTTTTGGAGACTGCTAAACTAACAGCTCGTTTTCACTCTGACTTAGCAGCCTGTGCATTTATTTACTTCACGTGGATTGCGGGCATTTTAAAAAAGCAGCTCACCACCACCTTCTCAACAGCAATTAAGGATAGACAACAAATGCTGGTTTGACAGTAACACTCTGACCTGTGAAAGAATTGTTTTTAAAATTAGATATTAATGAGCCAATCAAGATGATTGCAACTTGGAGAGCTTGGTTGATGTTTCCACACATCTGCTGCCCATTCTCTTCTAGGCATTAAAGGTTTGGAAGGCATTATTGAAGGAACTTTGGAGATTTACTGCGATACATTTTGTGGATATACACACTACTGCACTGGCGTAGATAGTAAAGGCAGTGAACATTTAAGTTGGTGGATTAGGTGATGTTATCTGCGCTTTAGACCCTTGCATCAGTTTATGTATTAAAAACATTTTATCCAAGTGTTCTTGTTGATGACGCAGACAAAGGTACACAGAATTCTCTTTGCAGTCAACTTGATTTTATTAATAAAATATTCCTTGTTAAAACACTATGTAAGCATTTCCCAAATTCCCACAATATTTACTCTCTGTCTAGCTCTACCCATCTGAGAAATAATACCACTCACAATGATCCACATGTTTGAACCGGTTCCATTGGAATCTCCTCCTTCTCCAATGTAGGGTTGGCACTCTTCCATGAAGTTGGGTCAGGCAGATCTTCTCCCTGGTCTATTTGGATTGCTGCATTGTCTTAAGGCACAAGTCTTATTGTAAGTCTTCTCTGCAAGTCTTTGCTGAGGCCTCACTGAGGGGTGTATCCAGATATGTGTTGCTTTCTAATTTTGGGCCCATGGTCACTTGGACAGTGACAACTAACTGGCTGCTTTGTCCTGGATGGTGTTGAGCTTCTTGAGAGCATTCAAAGTTGCTCTCTGTTGGGCAAAGAATATTCCATCACAGAAGCTGCTGGAAGCATCTGTGAAGAGAAATCAGAGTTAATGTTTCGGGGTCCAGAGATGGTGGCTAGGAAAATGTCAGTTTATATGCACAAGTTAGAGTGGGGGGAGGGGATAAGGACAAAATGACAAGTGGGGATAGAGCCCAAAACAAGAAAAGACAGTTGGACAGACAAAGGAGTGGATAATGATTTGGCTAGGAGGGTGAATAGCTGTTAATGGAGACTGTTAGTGGCTAGCAATAGGCAGTGTGTAATGGCAGACTGTGTGCCAACAAGGCCTGGTGTGTGGGGTTGGACGCTAGGGGACGGGAGAGTTCAGGCCATAAAATTATTGAATTTGAACTATCTTCTCTCTTTTTGGGCTCGATCCCCACTGATCATTTACTCCTTAACCCCTTCCCCCACCCTATCTTCTGCATATAAACCAACATTTTCCTAGCTATCATCAGTTCTGAGGAAAGGTCACCAGACTCAAAATGTTAACTCTGATTTCTTTTCATAGATGCTGTCAGATCCACTGAGCTTTTCCAGAAACTTCTGTTTTTGTTTCTGATTTGCAGCATCTGCACTTCTTTCAGTTTTAATATTCCATCACATTCTTGCCATCTGCCTTGTAGACATTGGATTGACTTTGAGGAGATAGGAGGTGAGTTACTGCCACAAAATTCCCAGTCCCTGACCTGCTTTCATAGACAATGTACTGATATGGCTGATTATGTGAAGTTACTGGTATCACCCAAGATATTGATTGTGCAGAATTCAGCAATGGTGATGCCATTGCATATCAAAAGGAAATGGTCAGATTCTCTATGATAACAGATGGTCATTGTCTGGCACTTGTAAGTCACAAATATTAATTGTGGCTTATCTAGCCAAACTGTTAATGTTGGCAGAGGCTTGTTGCATGTGGGCATGGATTGCTTTAGTACCTGAGGAATTGCAATTTGTATTAAACGTTATGTGATCACCAGACAAGATTCCTACTTCTGATCTTGTATTTAACAGAAGATCATTGATGAAGTTTCTGAAAATGGTTGGGTCTAGACAATATCCTAAGGAATGCCTGCAGTGATATTCTGGGGCTGAGGTGATTGGCATCACAACCATCTTTTTTTTGTTCTTGGTATGACTTCAAGCAGTCACGAGTTTTCCCTGACTCCTATTGACACCAAAGTTGCTGAGGATCATTGCTGTTACACTTGACCAAGTCTGCTCAGTGTTAAGGGCAGTAACTCTTACCTCACCTCTGGAATTCAGCACCCTTCAGTACTACATCTGGGATGCTTTGAGGTCCCATAGCCTTTGCGGTATCTAGTGCTTCCAGTTGTTTCTTGAAATCATGGACTGGTGTTTGTGTTGCTGGGAAGCCCAGGAGAAGGTACATCCACACAGCATTTCAGCCTCAAAATAGTTACAAATATTTCAGCAAGTTTGCACTGGTGTTTTCAGTTCCACCATAATTGCAGATATTAATGGATCATCCTTCTCCAGATTATTTGTTCAGCTTTATTCATGGTCTGATGTGGCAGGTCCACAGAGAATCCAATTGATCTGCTGGCTGTAGGATCACTGAGTGCTCTCCACAGCATGCTGCTTCTGTTGAAGTAAAAGCTAAGTACTGCAGCTGCTGGAAATCTCAAACTAACACAGAAAGAGCTGGAGAAACCCAACAGATCTGGCAGCATCTGTGGAGAAGGAAATATTTCAAGTTCAATAAGACTTCTTCAGAATTCAATGTGCAATGCTGCTACCACTGTCTAGCATGCACACAGTCCTATGTTGTAGCTTCAAGGTTAATACCTCATGTTTACATGTGCTTGCTGCTGCTCCTGGTATGCTCTTTCACACTCTTCGCTGAACTAGGGTTGGTTCGCTGCTTTAAGGGAATGTTTGAGTAAAGCATGTTGTCATACCATGAGGCTGCAAATTGTTGGTGAATACAATTCTGCTGCTACTAATGGTCAATACCACCTCAGTGTTGCTGAACAGAGACCTTGGAGTGCAGGTCCATAGTTCCTTGAAAGTGGACTTGTAGGTAGATAGGATAGTGAAGACGACATTTGGTATGCTTGCCTTTATTGGTCAGAGCACTGAGAGTAGGAGTTGGTGGGTGGGGTTGGGGGGGGTTCATATTGTGGCTGTATAGGATTTTGGTTAGGCCACTATTGGAATACTGCATGTAATTCTGGTCTCCCTGCTATAGGAAGGATGTTATGAAACTTGAAAGGGTTCAGAAAAGATTCGCAAGGATGTTGCCAGGGTTAGAGGGTTTGAGCTATAGGGAGAGGCTGAATAGACTGAGACTATTTTCCCTGGAGCATTGGAGGCTGAGGGGTGAATTTATAGAGGTAATGGATACGATGAATAGATAAGATCTTTTCCCAGGGGTGGGGAAATCTAAAACTAGAGGGCATGGGCCTAAGGTGACAGGGGAAAAATTTATAAGGGATCAAAGGGACAGCCTTTTTATGCAGAGGGTGGTGCATGTATGGAATGAACTGCCAGGGGAAGTGATGGAGGCTGGTACAACATTTAAAAGGCATCTGGATGGGTACATGAATAGGAAGGATTTAGAGGGGCATTGACCAAATGCCGGCAAACAGGACTAGATTTATTTAGGATATCTGGGCGGCACGGATGAGTTGGACCAAAGGGTCTGTTTCCATGCTGTATATCTCTGTGTCTCAGGAATGTCCAGTTTGAGATGTTAGGGGAGGGGGTGAAACTTCGAAAGCAAAAGGTAAAGTCATCACGTACTTTTATTGTTTAAATCAAATTGCAATGCACTCTGGTTCAGTCCAAATATGTGTACAAAATAACAAATTGCAGCTATGAAGCACGTTTTTAAAATTGCCACTTTTTACAACTTAACCTGTAGAAATTCAAAGTGAACTTCATGAAAACCCTTACAAGGCCCATAGGGAAATGACTAATTAATCTCCTTATCGAGATTGTTGAGTGTGAGTTCCCTTGGTAACAGGAAATAGCCTGTCCAACTAGAACTCACAAACTGACCACTTGATAAAGCAGACCCACCCCCTCCAACTCCATTTTAATTTAGTCCCTTTCCTCTCTCCCTACCTCTCACTCATTTGTGATGGTTTGCATTGCTCATACCAGGCTTTGCTGTAAATAACTGATTGGCTACATTGGTGATTACTGGCTGTGGTTAATCATTTAAAACGAATGAAAAAAAGAGTCATGGTGATGGGAAAGTCGCTCAGTTGTGCATAACAGCACCTCAGAGTATATTAAAATAAAAAACAGGCCAACAGATAAAGAAAATAGAGCAGACCTACTGCCCTTAAATGCCTTCAGAGAGAGGTAGACACCGCGGGGGATACACAGTGTAATTTTCCCCTACAACTCCATTTTGATTTAGCCCCTTCCTGCTCTCCCTCCTGCCCTCTCTCACTTTTGATGGTTTATGAAATAACTCCACAGAGGCTGGTATCCAATCACCAAGTTACCCTTTATTTAAGTGGGGAGAGTCCTCAACCCTGATCCAGATCCCTCAGAATCAGCACAGCAAACAGGATGTCTGACACTTCTGTTCTATCTGTCAGTCAGGGCTCCCTGACTGAACCAGCTTAACAGCCCCAATCAGGGAACTCATACTCTGTGAGGTCCATATGGCTGACCTTGTTACAATCACGACAGTTTGCGCTGCCCATAATAAGCTTTGCATATAAATTTCTCATTGGCTGCACCAGTGATTACTGGTGATGACTAATACTCTTAAAAAAAGTCATGGAGATTTGCTGGGAAAGCCATTTGTTTGTGTATGATGACATTTCCAGGTAAAAACAAAAATAATGCAAACCCCCAAACCATTCAGTTATGTAAAGGAGCACTTCTGAGTAGAGATAAAATTAAAAAAAACAAAGTAAAGCAGTCCAGAGGGTTTGCGTGGCACAGTCATAACTTCCCTAATACTAGGCCAGAAGGCCTGGGTTTGAGTCCTACCTGCTCCAATATGTTTTTTTCTTACTCATGGGATGACTGCGTTGTCGGCTGGCCAGCATTTATTCCCCATTCCTAGTTGCCATTGAGAATGTGGTGGCGAGCTGCCTTCTTGAACCTCTACAGTACACATGCTGTAGGTTAACTCACGCTGCCCTTAGGGAGGGATTTCCAGGATTTTGACCCAGCGATAGGAAAGGAACAGTGATATATTTCCAACTCAGGAAGGTGAGTATGTGCATGCCGATCAAAGCACTGAAGTGGAATTTAGAGGTTGCTGTGTTCCAGCTGGCTTCTTAACTTTGAACTGCTCTGCTTTTGACCCCCACCACCCACACTCAAATCCATATGCTCCAAGATGTTAACATTCATCCTTATAGCTCCAGTTCTCTGGAAATGTATTGCCTGATCCCTCTGCTGTGCCTCCTTTCTCCCTTTTATTTCAACAATCTCTACTTTCTCTTCACCATGCATTTATTGCTCAAATATAATCCACCCCATTCTCTACACCCTGTTGATTCCTTCTCACAGTTATCATGTTTTCCATAAATATGAAGTGCTTTCAGACATCTTTCTGTGATTGACATGTTTACAGTTTGTTATGATATTTCTCAAATTGACCAATTTCCCAGTATACGCTATGCAATTGTTCTTTCAGATTTTATGTTCAATATTGAGATAAATCTATTTCCAATTGCATAAAATTTAGCATAACAATTTTAATGGGAGGAAAATACATTTTAACATTTGACGATAAATAAAGGCAAGACATGCTGTAAAAAGATTATTTAAGTTAAAAAATCACAAAACTGGATTATATAGTTTCCTTTCATAAAGATTGAAACAGGTAGACCAAAATGAAATGTTACTTTTCTTACCCATCATTGCAAACTGACTGTCAATTCCCAGCGTGAAAAGCATTAAGAAAAATATTACGGACCACAGTGATGATACTGGCAGGAGTCCAAGTGCTTCTGGGTTGGCAATAAAAACCAAACCTAAACCTAAACCATAAACAAAATGATATGGACTCATTAACAATACTTAGGGGGAGAAAGATGTAAACTGTTATTTATTTAAAACAGAAATCATAAGTGATATTTGCAACATCCAAGGGCCAGAGGCTATTTCCAAAAGAAGAGAAACTGGCCACCTTCCATGACATTTACTGACATTACCATCATTGAGTTTCCTACTGTCAATATCCTAGGGGTTGATTCTAACCAGCAAGTTAACTAAATAAGCCTTTAGAAACTGGCTACAAGAGCACGTCAGAGGCTAGGAATTCTGTGGCAAATAATTCATTTCTTGTCTTCCCCTCACCCGAAATATTGTTCACCATCAACAAGTCAGGATTGTAGTGAAGTACTATCCATTTGCCTAGATGAGAATATCTTCAATAAAATTCAAAAAGCTCAACATTTTCAAAGGCAAAGCAGCCTGCTTGATCAGCATCATATCGAACAATTTGAACATTCAATCCTTCACTATCACTGTAGAAATATGACAGTAGAGTGCAGTATCTGTACAATGCACTGTAGCAACTTGTCAAACCTCTTTTGACAACAGTTTCCAAAACCACTAGCTTTATCACACAAAAGAACAAGGTAAAATATGAATGGGAACATCACCACTCCACAAGTACCCCTCTAAGTCACTCACAAACCTGACTTGGAACTAACTTTCTTTCACTGGGTCCGAAAGCTGGAGTACTCTCCCAAAAAGTCGTGTCGATGCACTACACTATATGGGCTTTAGGGTTTAAGAAGGCAGTTCAAGCGCAATTATGCGCAATTTTGGGTGGAAAGTAAAAACTGATGCTTATATCTGTTGAAAGAATAAAAATAAACACCAATGCCCTTGCAATTTGTACCATTACTTTTCTTAGCGTACTTGGATATACCTCTTCTAGTCGTATGGACTAATCAAAGTTAAGTGCAGCTAACCTAGCCCATACCTCATATTAATAATTTTCTTTTTATCTCATCCAGTATCCTAACTTCACCCTTTTTTACTGAAAGACAGATGCAAAGTACCCATTTCTTTTTATATACACAATTTTTTCAAGCTTCATCTTACTTTCTCTTTCAACATCTAGTGAACTCTGGATTTTTGTCCCTTAAATGAATCTATCTTAACTGTACCAGAACTATTTCCATTGTTCCTTTGTAATTTTGTTTCAAGACTTTCAACTGTAATTTACCAGAGCTAGATCTGCCCTCACTTTAATGATGTTTACCCTCCTTCAATTGCATATTCTTATTCCACCTGCTCCTTTTTCTTTTCCAAAGCTAACCTAATCCTTTAATATCATGGTAATTCATCACTCATATATTTCCCCACTACCACCTGATCCACTTTGACCTACTTTAGTCCCTGGGCATCAGATCCAGCAATGTCTCCTTACTCACTAAACATAGAAATAAAGGAGCAAGAGTAGGTCATTTAGGCCTTACAGCCTGCTCCAACATTCTAGATCATCGCTGATCTATCCTAATGCCATACTCCTAAACTATCTGAAAATCTCTTAGCAATATTACTAAATCAAAATCTATCAATCTGCATCTTGAATTGACTTGATGTCTAAGCTTCCACAGCCCTCTTAGGGTTGAGAATTCCAAATATTCACCACTGTGTAAGCGAAGAACATCCTCCTCATCTTAATCCTAAATGGCTTGCCCTTTATTCTCAGACTGTGATTCTCAGACTCCGCTTCCAGATCCCACAGTCAGGAGAAACATAATTCCTGCATCAACTTTGTCTACCTCCAAGAATTTTGCCACTTTCTATACGACTGTTTCTCATTCTTCTAAATTCTAGAGAATGCAGACACAGTCCCCTCAGTCTCTTATCATAGGACAAACCCAGAAATCAGTTTGATGAACCTTTACTGCGCTTGTTCTATGACAAATATATCCTTCTTCAGGCAAACTGCACACAATATGCCAAGTCTGGCCTCATTATAATGTTTGATACAACTCAAGAAAGACTTCTTTGCTCTTGTATTAAAATCCTCATGTGATAAAAGCTAACATGCAATTTGCCTTCCAAATTGTTTGTTGCACCTGCATGATAGTTTTCAATGACTTAAGAACAAAGATATCAAGGTCACTTTGGAGATAACACTTTTCAATCTCCTTCCATCCATGAAAGGCTCCTGCACCTTTGTTTCCCCTACTAAAGTGGATGGCCTTAAAGTTAACAGATTAAATTCACAACTTACATATCAAACAAGCTTTGCATCATTCGCAAACTTGGATTCATTTCAGTTGGCCCCCAATCTAAATAATTGAATAGACTGTGAAGATCTGAGGCCCAAGCACTGATCCTTGTGGTATCCTACTGGTCAGAGCTTACCAACCCAAGAATGACTCACTTATTCCTTATCTCTACTTTTTGTCTGTTAACCAATCCTCAATTTGTGATAGTATACTCTAATCTGTCCAATTTCAAGTTTATTTACTAATCTCCTGGAGAACTTTATCAAAAGCTTTCTGAAAATCCAAAACATCACAATCACTAATTCTCCCTTATTGGCCCTGCAAGTCACATCCTCAAAATGGTCTATTAGGTTTCTCAAACATGATTTGTACTTTTTTTTTGGCCCCTGGCCCTTCCGTACTCTGACAAAAATGAGTCCAGGAATTCCACAGTGACTTGCATACAAATCCACAAGACCAGTCATGGATGATCTGCTTCACAGAGCAGGTTAACGTGTCAACATCTGTGAAGACACTAGCTATAATGAGCGTCTGCTTATTTTTCTGTTTCTGGCTGGATTTCCACAGGTACAAGATATTATTGGCCCCACACATATAGCAACTGTGCACACCTCCACATCAACCGGTGACAACTACAGACCAGAGTAAAACAGAAAATGCTGGAAAAACACAGACATCCAACTGGCATCCATGAAGAGGGAAACAAAGTTAACCTTTCAAGATAAGATTTTTTTGTCAGAACTTTATTTCTCTTTATTTTCAACTGATACTGCTGAACCCACTCAGTACGTTTGGCATCTGCAGTAGTTGCTTTCAAACCACAAGGTATTCCATTCGATTAAAGCTCAATTGGCATGCAAACCAAAGAAAAGTTTTATCTAGTTGTGCAACAGATTGTTCATGAGTAATCAGAATGATATCATAACGTAAAAATCCATGTTCCCTGGCTTCTTTGGGTCTACAAATAAATTTGAAAGGTGGCTTCTGTTACAACAGTAGGTTGGAACCTTGAAACACTGCGAATTTTAAGCCCTTCATTCCAAAATATTTTTTTTTTCAAAACTGTTACAAACACAAATGCAGGAGTAACTTCAGTGGTTGGCTTGCAAAAATTCTGTATGGGACGGATGAACACCTTCCACACCTTCGCTGGAGTTATGGTGGTCAAGTTAGGGAATTCTTGCAGAAACCTTTCCCCGCTCCACTCCAATCCAGTATATTGAAACTAAAAAAGTTACCTGACTCCACAATTTCTTGAACAGGCTTATTCTGTACATAAGCCATGTGCCCAAGGATAGCAAAGGTGGCAAATCCAGCAAACAGACTTGTACCACAATTAACAAAAGAAATAATGACTGCATCTTTGTAACAATCATTGTTGAATCTGTTGTAAGATGATAATGCAGTTATAGCTCCGAAGGCCACGGAAATAGAATAGAATATTTGTGTTGCTGCATCTTTCCAAACCTGATGAATGCAAGATACAATAAATTAGAATTGAAACAACATAGACATGCTCTTCCCTGTATGTCAGGACAAATTATTTTAATACATAATTAACAAATAGATTAATAATGCAGCTCATTCATCCTGAATGGACTATTCCTAATCATTACTGTCTTTGCAAATAGTAAGATACTTCATCTCAGCCTTTCATTGTTATAAACGCTTAAGACAAAAAGCCTGGAAATTTCTTGCTTTCAGTATTGATTTATCTGTGGTTCACCTGCTTAACTGTAGTGGTTGCACAGGATTTTAATAATGTGAATAGCAGAGAAATAAAAGGGTTGTTGTGGTTCGGCAGTAGCATCCCCATCTCTAAGCCAGGAGGCCTAGGTTCAGGTTCCACCTGTTTCAGATGTATATAGTATGAGCAGTTTGATTAAAAATATCCTGCAGGGAAATTAAAGGACTCTTGCAAATTTACTGTCCTTACCTTACAATCCAAGAGACCTGAGTTCAAGTCCCACCTGCACCAACGGGGTGTGTCATAACATCCTTGAGCAGGTTGATTAGAAAACACCTGATAGATAAGTAAAGTTGGACACATGTACCGTTTACTTCCAGCCCCTGACTCTCTTCAGCTTTCTTTCCTGCACACTGCTTGGTATTTTGTACCCTAGTTTCTGCTCCTGTAACTTTCTCTGAAAGTTTCCAAACTTAAAAACACAAGCTACTATCAAACTTCAGACTCCATCAGTTCTCATCCCCAGTCTTTGGAATCAAACAAATCGTAAGATCAAATTTAACACTACATATGAAGTATTGCAGAACAGGTAATAAAACCATGAGCAACAAATCCACGCTAATGGAGAGAAGAGATCAGAAGGAAACATTACAACTAACTGAGACTAAAGGTGTGCTACAGATTAAAATGTAACTAAGGTAAATCAGATTGACTAAAATGTGAAGTTTGCAAGTTATATATGCAAAAATAGCTCAGAAAAATAACACAAAATGTATAATTGTTTCAAAAGTGTTGATGAAATCTACAGATGATTTTGATATGCCTACCTCAGCTTCAGCCAATTTTGAGAGATCTGACTGCTTTCCAAGATAGTACTCAATTCCATTCCGGGCACCCTCCAGGGTAGCTCCTCGAATTATTAGCATAAATATAAGCAGATAAGGGCATGTTGCGGTAAAATAAACGACCTAACCAAGAAAAATAAATTCTTAAGCTTCCTTACCACACCGTTGATCTAATAGGTTGTATAAGATTTACAATTTTGAAAAGCGAATAGAATTATATTTCGAGCTAATATAATTGTTATCAATGCACAGACGTTAAATAGAACACTTCTATAGAGTTGAAAAGTTTACATAATGTCAAGGCTTAGAACAGAAAATGAAACATTAAGCAAATTTATGCACATATTCAAAAGACTATTTTAACAATTAACAAATCAGATTCAATGGGCCAAGTATAACAATCATATATCCAGTCTTTAAACCAATGACTTAAAATCAGGAGTTCATGTCAAATGGAGTCCTTTGTCACTTTCATTGGTTCATGATAAACATAGACATGTTTTACCTAACAACATGAGATCACACCAATATGGCTCGTTACTCCATTTGGATTTTCAAGTCCCCTTAAGCCTATGGTAACTCATTATTCCCCATTTAGTATTACCTATGCAGTATGAGACTACATCTAATGGTGTTTCAGTAGTAACTAAGCTTCTATTAGCATAAGCAAAAGTTCTGTAATTCTGCAATTCTAAAGAAGAGTCATATTAGACTCAAAACATTATCTCTATGTTTCTCCATAGATGTTGCCAGATTGGCTGAGTTTCTCCAGTATTCTCTGTTCTTGTAAACAAAGATTTATTGGGCATCACACGACACTATTACGAGCGCAGTGTTTTCCAAAATAAGAAGGTTTTGTTCATAAATGCATGAAGACTAACTTTCAAATTGAGGTGGGCAAGGGGCACAGGTCATCCTGGCATCAACAGCAGGTGCCCACGGTCACTGGCCAAGAGGGGATTGACACAGCAGAGACAGCCAGTGCTTAAAGTAATGTACACTAAAAGAGATAAGTGAGAAGATAAGTGTATGAGCAAGGGTGCAGGAACGAGCCATCATCTTCATGACAGAAGACCAACAGGTCCCTTGCATCAGCCCAAGTGATGAACAAAGACGGCTCTCACCAAAAGACTGCAAGACATTTGAGAACACTGCCTCTACTCCTCTATTTTACAGAATGATTTTGGGATCAATGGGACATTCTCAATTGTCAGGGTCGTGTACTTTATTTACCCAATTAGCTAAGGTATGTATCTAAACTGCTGTTTCTTAACTAACTCAACAAACAACTAGAGATTTGCTATAAATCGTCGACTGCCTATATTAGGTAACTGTGATTGTGAACCTCCAAAAAAGTTCTCCCAGCCATGAAACAGCTGTACCTTTTAGCACTTTATACAAAAACCACAAACTATAACATGATACAAGCCAGTGGCCTGGTCAAGAGAAAGAGAAGATAATCAAGATCCAAAAAAAATAGATAGTTTTGGCTTTCTTCATCATTGTCTCATACACACCACAGGCAGAGGAAACAGTTAGGGCAGAATGCACTGCATTTGAAAATTGCCAGCAGTTATTTTGTTTTAAATATAATCTCTCATGGGATGTTGGAATCACTGGCTAGGTGCCTTTCCAGACTCGTCAATACAGATCCCTTAAGTCTGATCACACCAAGCACCTGACTGACTGACTAGGGGTCTAACAGCATAACATCAGGAAATGAGAGATTTATAAGAAAACATATGGAAAGAAATTGAGAAGAGAGTTATAGACATTCAGAGGTAATAAACATTAGGTGGACAGGAGAGTACAATAAGTCAGGGAGGAAGGCAAAGGACTGGAGAACGACAGATAGAGTGAGACAGAAATCTTAAAGATACAGAACGAAACGGAACAGTTTTATCAATAAATTAGACATATTGGTGCAAGAATCTACACCTTCTTCGCAAAATTCTAATTCTGTTTTGCTAAATACATTTACCTTTGCTGAAGATCTGATTCCTTGACATAGCGCCACCACAGTTATCAACCAAGCCAGAAGGAAGCAGAGGGCTAAATACCAGACTATCCCACCGGTCTCATCAACTGAATTTGTACGTCGCAAAACTGCTTTACTAAGTAAAATGACAAACATCCAACTGTAAGGATATTGCCCATTACACATTTTCTAGCAAATATAAAGGCTTTGTGTTTGAAAGATAATTGCTTTTTTTTTAGATTTGTTCTTTTTATTCTTTTCTGATATTTGGGTGTTGCTGACCACTCATAATTACAGTTACACTGAGTAGCACACTACACAATTTCAAAGGGCAGTTAAAAGTCAACCACATTGATCTGTGTCTGCAGTCACATTAGAATAGACTGGGTAAGGATGGCAAATTTCATTTCCTCAAGGACATCAGAATGTGAGCTGGATTTTTGCAACATCAATTATTGTTTCATGTTCACCATTACAGAGACCTTTATGATCACAATTTATGAACTGAATTTCCATTTCATCATTTATCATTGTAGCATCTAAACTATTGCCGCTAGAGCGTTAGCCTAGGCCACCGAATTACTAGTCCAGTGCTATTTCAACTATGTCAACATTTCCCCTTGAATGTAATGTAATTGTTGTAAAATTAGCATAAGTTTGATTCTTGTTATTTAAAGAAAACCTTACATTTAACACATTAATATTGTTACTTCTATAAAACATGCCTGAATATAATACTATCATCACTCAAACCCCTCCTTCCTCTTTCCGATCTAAAAATCTCATAAATTACTCACCAAACAAACAGATTCCTAGCAAATTTTGGTTTAATTCCTTATAAAGGTTTTAATTAGTCTAAAGTTTGGCACTTTCTCTCATAATGCTCATGAAAGCAGCAGGTGAATTACTTTGAAAATGTTTCTTAGAGGAGCATTTTTTGATAGAGTTATCAAGTATTTTTAAACAGTAGAAATCACAATCAATTTGCTAATTTACATCTGTAAAATTGGTGGGCAACATAGTTCTGTCCAAATCACCCAATCCTTACTATTCTATCAATACAATATATTGACATAGAAATAAAGAAATGAAGCACATGTTCATTTTATTGTTTTGATTTTCAAATGCACTAATAATGAGACTTCTTTAAAACAAGATGAAAATTTGAAATGTAAAGTTGCACCATTCATAGGGGTTATATTTCTCAAAAACCTCAAATAATTAATCTGCAAAAGATAGAATGCAAATTTGCACAATGTGATGCATGCACAGTCTGCATACTTTCTACTTAAAGGAATGTTTCTGTTTTTCCTTTTTTAAAACCACAGATAGCAAAGACTGGACTCACAGATGAAATGGTATACAGTAACATTGGCATGAATAGGCAAGTTCACAAAAGATGGACAGGCAAACAGGACTTCACTCAGCAAAAGTTTTGCTGTATGAGTACAAAATTTTTTATTCAAAATATTTATTCAAAACCACTCTTTATTTTAACATTATTTCTTATTCATTCATGGGCTGAGGGTGTCGCTTCAGACTAGCATTTATTGTCCATCTCTAATTGCCCAAAGGGTAGTTAAGAGTCAACTACATTGCTGTGAGTCTGGAGTCAAATGTAGGATAGACCATGTGAGAATGGCAGTTTCCTTCCCTAAAGGACAGGAGTGAACCTGGTGGATTTTTCAAACAATCGATAATGCATTCAGGGTCATCATTAGACTCTTAATTCCACCATCTACTGTGGTGGGATTCAAACCCGGGTACCCAAAGCACTACACAAGCTTCTGGATTAACAGTCCTGTGATAATACCTCTAGGGTGTTGCCTCCACTTTTGCAATTAAAGTTTCATTACATTAAGTCATTTTGTTAGAGTTGTTTAAACGAAACCTTAAAAATTATTAAACAGCATATTAATTTTCTTAAGTCGCAAAAAAATGAAATTTCTCAATGCAGGTACTGAGCCATTTTACTTACACCCAGTATTGTTCACTCGAGCTTTGAGTTATGTAGATTTGAGTGTCATTTGTGCAAATTTCACCACGTTGTACTTGAATAGTTTCATTAGCCTGTGTAAAATTGCAGGGAAGATCTGTAGTAGGTATGATAAATAAATTTTATTTTATGTTATAATTAGTTAAAATGTTTAATTTAGCTTGATTATCGCTAAAAAAACCATATTTTGTCAAGCTTTTCAACTTAAGAAGAATTCTCAAGAATACCATTAAAAGGGAAAAACATTCATGTGTACCAGAAGTTATAGATATTGTTACAGGTTTCCTGCTCTTTGTGCATATATAATGCTTGGTTCAACTCAACTAAAAGTTGACAGCCATTTGCTTAATTTCTCTGAGAAATTCCCTAACCAATCAAAATCAATCTTCCTGGTTTGAAAGTTAAATAAATCCTGGCTTTTAACTGGCAATCATCATTATCTGCTGCACTCACTTGGCAGCACCTCTACCAATCAGGATCCAGTTGGCAACCAATCAGCAATCTCCTCTCTTACAGTATAGAACATTGGTATTACCCTTTATCAGTATTCTTGTGTATTGCCCTGATGATTAGAAAATGAAACGCTTTGATAAAATGTGTTTCTTTTGTCAATACGCAAGTTCTGTTTTACCAATTATCTTAATAAATTGCTTAACTTATATGAAGATTAGCCAATGCTAAAATAAGGTTTAATGTTTTCAAGCTTCCATCAATTAATTCTTCCCCTCCCTTTATTCCCAACTAGTGCTTCAGCTAACTTTGAATACCACATTGGAGTATTTTATATTCTCCAAAGAAGAAAGGCACCCTAGTTTTACACCCCATCTGCAAGATGCACCTCTAATAGTGCAGCATGCTGTCAGTACAGCATTGAATTAACAATGTGAATTATATGCTCAGGACTCTTAAGATGGCATTACAGACAAGATCCTCCAACTCAAATTATGTGAATATTAATAGAATTAAGGCTGATATCATCAGTAAAAAATGTATGTCCAATTTTCCATTTTCAACATCTTCTCTCCACAGATGTTGCCAGACCTGCCGAGCTTTTCCAGCAACTTCTGTAGATGCTGGAAATCAGAAGCTAAAACAGTTCTTTGGTTTTTCCAAATATCTCAAACTTGTTTTGTGTATTGATATGCCGGCCTTCACCATCAGGGAAGATATCAGTGGTGATAACTTATTATATATCATGATTGTTTTGCCACTAGAATAAAAAATATGGGTATCTAGACGTGTACAGATTAAATTTTCCACATTTGTAATATGTGTCATGTTGTAGATTTGCTGTTTCCTGTGCTGCTTTTCTACGTGTAATCCAATGATCTTATCATTTCCAGGTATTAAGTTGCAACGAGCCTGTTGAAAATAAGCTTATGCAGAACAAACCTTCCTTATGCACTATGAATTCTCAGAATATTCCAATCAATTGAAAATAGTATCAATTTAACCTCCACCTTCTCGGCATCTCACTTACATTGTATTAATTGTTTGGATCGACATGCAATCATGTACAAATGTCCTTTTTTGCCTACCTTAGTCAACCTTAATGCAGCATTTACATCCAAAGCATTAACACAAACAAGATTAAACTACACCCAGGGTGCAAAAGAGTGCCTAGCCATTGTCTGTGCCTGTGAACATTTTCATCAATGCTTACCTGGAAAAGACAATGTGACAGTGGAGTCTGATCACAAGCCACCTCAAAGCCTTTTCCTCAAATGCCAATCTGTTCTAATGAGTCATTAAAGAATGTTACTCCAGTTGTGGAGACCATCTGGATGTGACACACAAGCAAGGGAATGAGATGTACATTGCTGACATACTGTCAAAAGCAGCACTCCCAATGACAAATGTAGAGGGTGCAACAACAGAGTGCAAAATCTTCCAAATCTAACAATAAGCAGCAGCTAATCATACTCTGGAAGATGTCAATCCAGGATAAACATTGAATGCAAAAGATAAACAGTTTGCTCAAATCAAATGAACTACCCAACAAGCGATGCAAGAAATAGTGATGAAAGGATGGCACAAAAGCATCGAAGTCTCACTTTTGTCAGAACAGCATATTGGGTGAAAAGATAAATTGTCAGCACAAGGCGGCATATTGTACAAGGAAAATAGGATTAATGCCTCTAAGGAGCTGAAAGTAGTGATGGTAAACTCTATACATTCAAGCCACAAGGAACTGAGTCAAATCTAAGATAAATGATGTGCTCTCCTAGCCAAACATGAAGAATGAAATCAAGGACCACATTGGCCAGTGCAGGGCTTGTAATGAGTATCAAGCTGCGCGAGCCAGAGAACTGCTAATGACACATGATATCTGAGACAGACCATGGATGAAGCTATGAATAGACCTCTTCACACTGACAGGTCTGATTATTTGGTTGATGTAGTTTACTATTCTCACTATTGGGAGATGGACGCACTGACTCCAATGAACACCAGTGGGATTATGGAATGACTGAAAACAAACTTCAGACATTCCTAACATTGTGATGAGCAACAATGACCCTTAATTCACAAGTAAGTAATTAGGCTGCTTCATAAAGATTTTGGAAATTGAACACCACACGCCATCTCCTCAATATCCCCAGTCAAATGGAAAGACTGAGGCAGTAGTGAACATAACCAAACGAATCACAAGTAAGTCAAGCAAATCCAGTGCAGGTGTACATAAGGCAATTTTCGAGTGCAGAGACATAGATAGCGAAGGCATGGAAAGTAGTCCAGTACAAAAACTATTGCCACATGACATCTAAACTACCCCATCCAAAAGCAAAAAACATGACTGAAGACAGAAGTAGCAACAGGTGAGAGTGATGGGACAGAAAGCAAATATAATTCGACAAGAATATCAGAGTTGACCGGTAGAGAGACAAAATACCTTATATTCTTTCAACAAAAGTCAGCCAGAGTAACAATTAGAGCCTGCATGGAGTAGTTTTTACTTCAAATATACAGAACAGGAGTGAGTGTCCAGATACACTGTCACAACTGCAGCGTATATACACAACTGAAGAAGCTGTTCTTCAACTGCAAGTGGCTGAATCAGGAAAATATGAACTCACCATTCTGTACAACCCACAGATCAAACCAAGAGGGTCCACAACAACCCAACAACAGAAACTAAACAATAACAGATACAATGCAACATTAAATTACATGGCAATAACAGTCTTCCAGGGTAGAAACATCACACAGCTGAACAGTCAAAACTGTTAAGAGATCATTAAGTTTTAAAGAATTTGTATGCAGTGCACATACAGAGACTGATGAGAATAATGAACTGTCAATGCATGAGAACAGCCATATCTATCCTGGGTAAATTGACCAAATCAAAATGTCCATGATAATGCATTCTTTTTTGTATAAAAATGAGGAACATTTAGATTGAAATGAAAATATGTAAAAATGCCATTGTTTTGTGACCTGTACTATGAAGTACACACATCCTGCAATCACCTTACAGGCACTTCAATAAAGATTCCATTCTGACCAGACTATTGTCTTGCAAACACAGAACATTAACTATTACTGATGTACCTCTCAAGTACCTGTCTGGGTCCACTTGAGAGACAAAAGTTTCACTTTGGATAACGCAAAGAAATAAAAGCAAAATACTGGGGTTGCTGGAGAAGAAATCGTATCGGTCTCAAAATGTTAACTCTGTTTCTTTCTCCTCAGATGCTGCCAGATATATTCAGTTTCTTCAAAAACAAAATGTTAGTTTAACATGCCCATGATCATCAGATGTATTGGTAGAACAGTCAACATAAGATGTGCAATTCCTTTTGTTCAACCTCTTTCCAATTAGCTTTCTCTTTAGGCCATGACTGTAATTTCTCCAAAAGTTGAGACAGTTATTAATGCAGGAAGGCAAGAAATGCTCTTTGTTTGGCAGATAGCGTGGAGCAAACATTTGGGTCCATGAAATCCAGTTAAGAAAATAAATATCACATCAAACGATTTTTGGAATTATGTGTCCATGTATTAATCATTTATTAGATGCTGCAATTCTACCACTGATACGATTAATGCATTTAAGCATAATCTCCTTCAAATGCATCACTGTAATTAATTCCATAAAGCACATATCAAAGCATAAAAGGCTAAAAGAGATTTCAGGTTAGTTCTTCACGTAGTTCACTGTAAATATTGCAGAGAGGTCCCTATGACCCTGCATTTTATTTTTAAATTGAATCATTAAAAAGGTACATAGAACTAAAAGCTAATTATTCATAGATTTTATCTGCAAATTCCAACTCATTTCACCTGCCCTTATTTCTCCAGAAAAAAATACTTAGGCTCCTATTCAAAACTTATTGGATTAATTTGTTTCCTTTTGACATTAATAATCAAAATGGTTTATGATCCCTTAGTAGTAATAACATCAGTGGAATCTAGGTGTACAGGTCCACAGTTCCCCGAAAACAGCAACATGAGGGTGGCATGGTGGCTCAGTGGTTAGCACTGCTACCTCACTGTACTAGGGATCCAGGTACAATTCCAGCCTCAACTGACTGCGTGGAATTTGTACATTCTCTCCAAGTCTGTGTGGGTGCCCTGGTTTTTTCCCACAATCCAAAGATGTGCAGGTTAGGTGGATTGGCCAGGCTAAATCACCTATACCATGCAGGCTAGGCAGATTAGCCAATTAAATACAGGGTTATACGGTGGGTCTGTGTGGGATGCTCTTCAGAAGGTCAGTGTGGACTCAATGGGCCAAATGGCCTGTTTCCCCACTGGAGGGATTCTGTCGATAAGGTGGTCAAGAAAGCATATAGCACGCTTATCTTCACCAATCAGGAAAGTTATATTTCAGCTGTATTGAATTTTAGTTAGGTTACATTTACAATATTGCGTTCAGTTCTGGTCTTCATACTCCGAGGAAGATGTGGAAGTTTTGGAGTGGGTACAGAAATGGTTTACCAGGACATTGCCTGGTTTGGAGGTATTTACTACGAGGAGAGATTGGACAAACTTAGTTTGTTTTCAATTAAACATCAAAGGCTGAGGGGCAACCGAAAGAAGTTTACAAAATGATGAGAGGCACGGATACAATGGATAGTTGAGTCTACCCAGGGTCGAAACGTCAATTAGTAGGGGACATAGGTTTAAGGTAAACAGGGGGAAATTTAAAACAGATGTGAGAGACAAGTTTTTGTAAACAAAGTACCCTTTGTGCGTGGAATGCACTGCCAGAGGAGGTGGTGGAGGTGGATGCAAAAGCAATGTTTAAGGGATATCTTGACAGATACGTGAATAGGTGGGGAACAGAGGGACATGGATGTGGGCAGATGCATAAAGGATTTTAGTTTAAAAGGGTATCATGTGTTGGCACAGTTTTGGTGTGCCGAAGGGCCTGTTCCTATGCTGTACTGTTCTTTGCTCTTGTTTACTTATACCAATTATGGCCATTAGAACTATTACATTTTCTTCACTCAAACTGGGAAAAAGGTCATCTATTCAATTAGCAAATATTTTATTCAAATCAAAAAATATGTCATCAGAATACCTTTTAACTCATTGTTGCAGCTTTCATCAGCACCCCACGATTCAAAGCAGCCTGACCATGGCAAGGGATATTGGAAGGAAGCAATGAAATAGTACAAAATGTAGCCGATGATGCAGTTGTAGTAGAGGGCCACAAATGCTGACACAAAGACCATGGTGACACCCACACCTTAAAATGCACAGAGAAAAAGAAACTTAGGTTAGAAGTAATTTATTTGTTTGCACCAAATCTTTTCACACATATTTACTCAGTTAGAGAAATCAATTTTTCAGTTCAATGGAATTACTGTCATTTAATTTTTGTTTGCACAGTACCATTTTGTCAGTTTATCCAACTAATTATCCCTTGAACAAATAACTGCAAATCAATTTTTTTTTGTACAGCAAAACTGTATTAATTCTAACTGTTGGGTTTCAATAAGTAACTTCTACTGAAATATATCTTGATTATTCTTCTTTGTGACAAATTGGCTTGATGAGCTGTAGACACAGACAGTCACAAGGACTGTAGAACTCTGTCAACCATAAAAACCTGAATCAAATAAGGGGATAAATGGTCTCTTAAAATACCTAGTTTATAATATGTTCTGTAAGATAAGGAAAATAGTACAAGGTGGATGAGGGCGTGATATTGACAATATTAACTAACGACAGCAGCACATGGGAATAAGTGATTCAAAAAATCTACTACGTTAAAATTAGGAAGAGGAAAGATGAATGTCTCCAAAAGGCCATCAAATAGTGGGAACAAGTACATGTTCTGGTAAATTGCAGAAAGATGCAAGAGTATTAGCATAATGACAGTGGGGTCTTCATTTCTCCTTTAATATACTTGGAAGATAAACGTGTGGAAGGCCAAAAAGGAAGCACTGCTAAAGTACCGCCAACAAACAACTGCACCTCCCAGTCGCGAACCATTTCAACTCCCCCTCCCACTCCTTAGACGACATGTCCATCCTGGGCCTCCTGCATTGCCACAATGATGCCACCCAAAGGCTGCAGGAACAACAACTCATATTCCGCTTGGGAACCCTGCAGTCCAATGGTATCAATGTGGACTTCACAAGCTTCAAAATCTCCCCTCCCCCGATCGCATCCCAAAACCAGCCCAGTTTGGCCCCGCCTCCCTAACCTGTCCTTCCTCGCACCTATCCCCTCCTCCCACCTCAAGCCCCACCCTCAACTCCTACCTACCAGCCTCACCCCTTGACCTGTCCATCCTCTCTGGACTGACCTATCCCCCCCCAACTCCCCACCTACACTCACCTTTACTGGCTGCACCCCCGCCTCTTTGACCTGTCTGTCTCCTCTCCACCTATCTTCTCCTTTATCCATCTTCTATCCGCCTCCCCCTCTCTCCCTATTTATTTCAGAATCCCCTTCCCCTCCCCCATTTCTGAAGAAGGGTCTAGACCCGAAACGTCAGCTTTCCTGCTCCTCTGATGCTGCTTGGCCTGCTGTGTTCATCCAGCTCTACACCTGGTTATGTCAGATTCTCCATCATCTGCAGTTCCTACTATCTCTCTACCGCTAAATGTAAATCTGGGAATGAAGTAGTGTATGTTTCAGTGGGAAAGCAATTAGATAAAACTAATCAAATTCAGGTTTAGAATAGTCCTGAAAAAGGAGAAGGAACATTCAATTTTGAATGTACTTAATTAGAGAACAGTTGATGGCTAATTTCTGCAAGTCCAAAAGGGATCTGGCTCAGGTAGTTTGGAATAAAAATTGATAGGCATGTATTAGTTGCGTGGTTATGGCAGATAAAGTAGCAGAGTACTTATGTTACTGGACTAGTAATCCAGAGTCTAGGTTTAATAATCTTGAGATTATTGTATTTGAACCCACATAGCAAACTGCAAATTGAATTTAGTTAATTAAATACATTTGCAATTAAGAAGGTGTTATTAATGGACACTATGAAATCATCACCTTGGTGTAAAAATCCAAATGTTTTGTAAATGTGCTTTAACGAAGAAAGGAAATTTAACCTGTTTGGCTACATATGGTGCCAGAATCGCATCAATTTAGTTCACTGTCACTGCCCTCTGAAAAGGAAGAGCAATAAGGCAGTTCATTACCATTTTTGCAGTGCAATTCAGGAAGGAGATCAGGTGTTGCCTTCCCAGATATTGTGTCAATTATTGAGTGAATAAAAAAAGAACATGGGAGGTCTTCAATGTCACGGTTTGTGTATAGTCTAGATACCATAAGTGATGAAATCCAAAAAGAGAGCTTCCTAGATAATTAAATATTTAGAGGTTAAAGTCAATTAGAATTATGACTTATGGTACATGTCAGAAACTTGATTTAGAAGAGATCCAAACTGAATACAGGAGGACAGAGGAGAATTGGAGAAAGAAAATAAGTGGAATAATGAGTGTTCCTTTAGTGTCTAAGCTTTATAAAAAAAATCAAAATAGATTTGGTTTACTTGAAGATCTCTGGTGGGTTTATTTATAGCTAAACCAAACAGAGTAATCTCAAGATACATTGTTTGTCCAAGGTGCTACCGTGTATAAGGGCTGCATGCTCTGGTTGTATGACGACATCTAGTTACTTGGATTATCTGCATGTTGAGCTTCTTACAAGAATATCACTCCTAAAGTGAGGATACCATCTGCCCCTTTATCCCCAAAAATAGATCTTGTAATCTATAAGTGAAATTATGTAAACATGGGGTAATTGCAACAATATTTATGTAGAGATAGAGATAGTGATGTAAATTGTTAAGTACAGAGATAACGGAGTCAAGAATCATACAGTACAGAAACATACCTTTTGGTCCAACCAGTCCATGCCGAAAATAATCCCAAACCAAGTTAATCCCACCTGCCTGCTCCTGGCCCATACCCACCAAACCTTTCTTATCCAAGTACTTATCCAAATGTCTTTTAAAATTGTAACAGTACCCACATCTACCACTTCCTCAGGAAGTTCATTCCACACGCAAACCACCCTCGGTGTAAAGAAATCTGTCTCTTTTGTCTTTTTCAAATATTTCTCCTCTCACCTTAAAAATGTGCCCCCTCAGCTTGAAATCCCTCATCCGAGGGAAAAGACAACTACTGTTAACTCTACCTATACCCCTTATTATTTTATAAATTTCTATAAGATTGCCTCTCAACCTCCAGTGAAAATAGTCCAAGCCTATCCAGCCATTCTTCATGACTCAAACCTTCTACACCCGACAACATCCTAGTAAATCTCTTCTCAATCCTCTCCAGCTTAATAGTATCCTTCCAATAAGTGGATGACCAGAAGTGGACATAATGATAATGATAATAATAATAATGATAATGATTATAAAATTTACAAGTACAGAAACTTAAAAAAGTGAAGAAAAATATCATCTTGTTAGTTTAAAAGCAACATACCAGCATTTTTTCCTGGCTTCCATCTTAGCCAGCATTTCCCAACATCTCAGGGCATGCTCCACAGGAAATGACCACCTGCACCCACCATCCACAAAGGTGTCGGCAAAACATTAGCCTCACCATATCATCATGGCATATGTCAGACTCACTAATAACACAGTCCAGTGGTTTAGCACTGCGCTCTACAGCTCACTGAGCCCTTACTTTGTGAAGCTGTTGCCAGGCCATTTTGTGTTGAGACCGACACTTATCTCATGCATCAGAAAAGGGTGCATCTTGAGGCTCTTAGCTTTTTTTCCCTAGTGCTCAGCCAGTTTATGCTGCTCAGATGTTCACAGCACTGCTGCCTTTCCTTACCTTTTTACATAGACAGTAAGCTTATCATATTTACCAGCACGAACTAGTCAAGAAGATGGAAATGTTGATGTATGGTATGGTTCAATGTCAATGTCACACCTACAGCATGTGCCAGCAGGTTAGGCAAATATACTGCATGCATTTCAACCAAATGGTCTGAACGTTTAGGAGATGCAATCATTAGCCCAGTCAAGAAGAAATATGGTCAGTTATGTCCTTTCTCAGTCAAGAAAAGTGGTGAGTGTCCTGGATGTGTCAGTAGGAAGTGCAGATCGCAGGCCGTTCAGGGGAATAGGGTGGGTGAGAATCATTAAAAGGAAGATGCAGCACATAATATCGAGAGTGGTCAAGCATTAGCCTTGAAATTAATACTTAGCCAAATTTGGAGAAAATTCAGAAACAAAACAGAAGTTGCTGGAAAAATTCAGTCAGTCTGGCAGCTTCTGTGAAGAGAATTGAGAGTTAACGTTTCAGGTCCAGCGACCCTTCTCAGAATGGGAAAACTCAGGCCTTGCAGAAACAAATCCGTGACTAAGGTCAATTTATTTTCATTTATAGTAATAGATCATGAAGCTGACAGATTTTCATGATGACGTTGGTGTTCTGTGCATCATGATGGCTGGTGGCTCTGGCATGGATTGCACGCCCTCACCAACTTTTCAATATCACCATTGATCCCTGGTCTTAGATAATAGTGTATGCCAGTCATCCAAGGCTGACTGGACAGCACAGGTACTTAGTTTTCCTTTAAAACTAACCCCTTCTTCAGATACCAAGTTCATCCCTGCAGGGCAAAAGCATCTCAGTGTCTGGCACCTCTTCTATCACATCAGGCCACACCTCAATAATACCTTTCCACAGTGCCTTTTGTTGTAGGTTGTTACAGTTTCTGATTGAAGTTTGTCACAGTCAATAGACCACAGTGCAATAGATCAATTTTGAACGCACCTTTCAAATCCATTAGATCCAATGGAACATCTGCATCATTGTTCATAGTTGGCAACTTGCTTTGTGTATCTGAGGTCTATGTAGTGATGCCATCTGGTAGTGCCATTGCCTTCCACATCATTCACCTCACACTTAAACTTTGTCTGCATGTGGACACTGTGCTTAATGGCCAAGTGACAGAACTGCATATTCTCTGAGATCCAATATGGCATCAACCTTGAACTTTCATATGGCATCAAACCTGTCAGAGTACAATTGTTGTAAATGCTGAATTAACTCTATGCGAGCATTCTCATTCTCTTCTGCTGCCATGGATATCTTGGGGATTTGATGAATACTCACAGTATTGAGAACCATAGACGCTGACAGCACTGCAATTTCTGGTCTGTTTATGTCTGCCAAGTAAATACTTGCTGTTTCTATGCTAAATTGGCATAGCCTCTGTGTTAACATTTAGTAACCAGCAATCCGTCCTTTTTTTTAACCAGGCATATGGGCATCTGACGTCCATTCGTGGCAGAGATTTCCAGAATGAGAAGTCAGTGTTGTAATCAGTGTGCTGACTCTGATCACCACATGTGGAACGGCTGATCACGTGTGCAGCCATGCAGCAGAGAGTGAACATTGTTAGCAATATAGTATTACTGTCTGAAAAACTGAACCCTGTTGCGTTAAAATAAAGCTTTGATTTTTTGTTCTGTGGACGTAATTTGACTTTTGATTTAGAAAGCTCAAAGCTTGAACTCATGGAGTTCAAAATAGCCTTTCCAAGAAAGCATCTGATTTGAGATAAATGACTTGCAAGCTGCCTGGGGAAATAATTGCTCAACCATTTTCAAAGTTGATTCACTATGCATACAGACAAATGGTGGGGACTACAGCAAATTGAGTTCAGAAGAAAAGTTCTGTTCCAGCAGAAAGGTAGCTTGTAGTTTGTGGAAGTCTTCAGGCTATCAGAGCTGGAAAGAAATTTTAAACTATCTTTAGTGTTACAGCGAGAAAATTCAGTCATACAAGGTGTAGCTTGTGTGTTTAAGAGAGTAACAGAGAGTATCTCATTGGGGGAATGTAATGCAGGGAAGTGCTCGTGGCCTTGGGTCAGCTGATCAAAAAAAAGGTGCCATTTGGAGAATACTTCACTAAAGCTGGGTGTCTGTAAATGATATTGCTCAGAGTAAGGGTTGAATCTTTCTTTTTCCTGTTTATGAGTTGCCTCACAAGGTAAGTGAACATGATGTAGGGGGTGACATATTAGTATGGATAAATAATTAGGTGGCCACCAGCAAACATAGAGAGTAGGGATAAATGCATCTTTTTCAGGTTGGCAAACTGTAACTAATGGAGTGCCACAAGTGTTCAGTGTGGGGGCCTCAACTATTTAAGATATCACTCAAATTTGGCAGGTCAAGTATAATATGGGAAAATGAAAACTTGTCTACTTTGGCAGAAAGAACAGAAAGCAGTATATTTTTGAAAGAAAGAGATTACAGAATCTGATGCTTCAGAATGATCTGAGTACCCTGATACAGGAATTACAAAAAAAAATGCAATTGATTAGGAAGGTACATTGAATATTAGGGAATACGAAAGGTGAGCAGTTTTAGTGTAGCTGTACACTGCATTGGTAAAACTGCACCTGGAGCACTATGTACAATTTTTATCCCTTTATTTGGAAAAAAAAGATAGAATATTATTAGAAACAGTTCATTAGGGGTTTGTTTGACTCATTCCTGGGATTAATGGCTGAACTTAAGAAAGATTGAAAAGCTTGGGCCTATATATATAGGTAGAATGAGAGGTGATCTGTGCACGTTCTTGAGGGTACTTAATAGGATCTTAATAGTTAATGATTAATACTTAATCAAAGATATCAAGGGTTTTGGAGGATAAATAGACAATAACCAGATCAGGCAGGATCTTACTGAGTAGTGAAGTAGGCTTGAAGAGACAGATGGTCTTCTCCTGCTCCTACTGTCCCTAACCAGAGAGCACAGATTTAACATGATCGGCAAAAGAATCAGAAATAACAAAGGAAGAAAAATTACAAAGCACGTTATAATGGTCCACAATACAATGACACTCTCAAAAGGAATCAAATAACTCTTTCAAAAAGCACAATGAGTTTTTTTTTGGCAAGAAGAGAAAAAGGCTAGATCAGCTGAATGGTATCCTCCTTCCATGCTGTACTTTCTAAGGTTATCTGACAATGACAAAAGCTTTGGTCCAAAGTGCTGTACTATGGGCGAGGAAAAAATGGACAAAAGAAGGTTACTGAATAGATTGTATTCAATCAGTGAATGAAGAACTAAGACTACAAAGCTGAAACAAAAAATAAATCTCTGTACATAGGACTATAATTTTAAGTCATTCTGCAGTAAACTAACTAATCAATGTGATGCGTATGATAACCAGCAAACAATCATTCCACTAACAATACTATTTTGGCTGGTCTTCTGTTTAATTTATAGGACCACTGACAAAGATGTAGGACATAACACAGAAACTCAGCCATTTTTCTGAACTTTCACTGTGAAAACTATGGACCAACAAGGGAAGAGATCTGACAGAAGTTCAATAGATGGATTGCAATGCACAGACCTATTTACATACCCTGCTTGCACAGCAAGAATCTAATAACATTGAATTGACTTCATACAGAACATATTACACTTATACAAGCAGTAACACAGTTTAAATGTTCTGATAACAATATTGCTACAACCGAACTAAGAGTATCCATAGAAAGCATTGCGTTCATTTTTTGAAAAATGTCATGAAAATGTTCAGCATGAAAATATATATTTGCCGCTGTTTTGTATTTCAGTTTGTGGACAATATTTCATTATATTTAACAATAACAGTAAAACAAAATATTGAAATTTTAAGACAAATTGAAATCACCAGATGTTTCCTTTCTACATTGTTAACCATCCTTAGAATCACCCTTTCTCCAAAAAGTAGAGCAAAAGTAAACACTTAAAAAGAGTTGCTGTTGCTTTTTAAAACCCAGTTAAAGACGTGTTGCAGAAAACTGTGCAGTTTTCTACTGGATAGACTCAAAACTATCACAGATAATTAACGCAGGCCAGAATTGAAGTTAACAGAAATATAGGGGAATTAAACTCTTAGCATCTTAGTGCAACTGTTACGTTATGCAATTTAAATCCATCCTTCTTTCAGGGATTTTTATTGGACAAAGCAACCAGCCTACTAACCATCATTTGATTTTGGATAGAACTAACACTCTGCATTCAGCAGCAGTTTACTCAGCTCACCACACTTCCCTTAGGGGCATCTCAAATAATTGGCAGTAAATTGTTCAAAAATCCTCATGCTATTATAGCATAGGAGGGAAAAAAAGGCTTCCACTTGAATATTTAAATAGATCACAACAAAGAGCTAACAAAGTAATATCTACCTTTAATTTTCAATACACTGTATGTTAACTTGAAATGAACTTCTGATCTTTTTATCAGCAATTTAAAAATTAGGATGTTCATCCAGCATGCAAGGGCAAATACTTCAGTTTTATTGGCATAAATCCATAAATAAATGTTTCAAAATCAAGAAATTATCACAGTTTTAAATATAGTTGTACACATTCATTGCTGAATTTAAATTTCCTCCAGTTTCCTGCAATGCAGAGATGGATCCCTGTCGTTATCTGTTGCTGAAGATGCTATGTTCTTGTTACCCAACTGAACATATACAATAAAAACTATTTCAGATGATGCCTGATTAATTTTATTTGCAAAAAAAAGACAAAGAATTTTTGTATGTATTCAGCAGGAAATCTAATTAGCACTTCCAATTGTTCATATTGAAGTAACTTTTAAATAGTAAAAGTTAACACACAATTTACAATGATAAAATGTGGCATGTTGCTACATAAGACCAACCTTGTAGGATTGGCACAGCTTTCCACACTAAAACTGGTCCCAAGCTGGAAAACTGTCCAAGTGAACACTCCAAGAAAAAAACTGGCATTCCTGTGAATGCCAGCATGGCTACATAAGGAACAAGAAAAGCACCTATACAATCAATTAAAAAAAATGAACCAGATCAGACAGATAGTGTGAATAGGTTTACTATTTTACTTTAAAATATAGACTAGAGGTATCATCTCTATGTTAAACATGAATATATTCCTGTCAATACAACAGTACAAATCAAATTCAACATAAAGATGATGCTTCATACAATTTTTAGTCAATGAAAGACAAGCGCAAGCAATTTGTTGTCCTGTACCGTTACGGGTTTTCAAATTTTAAGTCCGTTTTTTTTTGCATGACATCTTTGCACTTAAATGTTTTTAAAAGAATTGCTAACATCCATAAAAATGGTCTACTTCATTAATTCAAGTAATCTACATAAAATTAAGTATGTAGTTGTGTTAAAAAATAAAAAAAACTCAGAAATGGCATTAAACATAATTTCAAAACTAAAAGCAATTTCAATGAGCTTTAAGTATGTCAGTACAAAGTTTATAGTAACACTTTCTTTCATAATAAAAATCACTATTATTTCAGTTATCAGTACATATTAAAAACCCAGGTAATCTGCACAGTACAGTTGAATGTTAAAAATGTAACACTGTTTAATACTGGTGACAAAATTAACATCAATCCTATTGATTTTACCCTGTCTACATTCTGCTTAAATTCTACACATTGAGGCATTCAAGAATTTAAAGCTGCTTTTGAAGTTCTCCTAGCATGAATATACATGAGTCAAAAGGACTCATTAATATTTGGACAGGGTCAGAAAGAAAGGAGGAAAGTGATGGAGCTGAAGCAAGATTATGACTGTGTTTTACGATAGCTTAATACTTTATAAATCAATTTTCCTGCCCATTTAATTTGAACATAATTGTCTATGACCCTTTTCTACATCAGTTTTATTACAGCACCTCCTCCATTTTTGTAAGTTAGATAAGGGAACCGCCAGATGTTCCCCAGTCCCACAGCATAACCTATCATTGACAGCAAGTAATCGGTTTGAGAAGTCCAGACATCTCGCCACGCGCCTTCAAATGCTTCAAGTTTA